CAAAATACCATGGGGTTGAACAGCAGCATGAACAATGTAACCACGTTGAAGAAGTCGCCTTACAAGACTAGAACCAATGGAACCAGAAGCATCCATAACACACACCGTGTTCGAAATAGGAATAAACGATGCAGGTGCCATATTTGAGTAATAATAATCAGATAATCAGATAGAGAAAAAAAGGATTAAGGATTGTTAATCACTTTTTTTGTATGTTGTTGGTTAAATATAGCTAAGAAAAGAGAGGGTTTATGTGTGTATATATTTATGTGTTGTGTGAGTTTGTGTATATCTCCAAAACTTAGAGTATAAATATAAATAATAAAAAATAGTGTAGAATTATAGAAGTTGGTTCAACATGAAAGATAGGCTATGTTTGTGCATATATATAAAAATATAAAGTATGAAAATATGGAAGGAGAAGAAAGGGAGAGCTGGCATTCAAAGAGTGTGGGTTGTGATAATAATATTAAGTAGTGGCGAAGGAGGTGGTTGTTAGAAGGGAGAAAGGGAGATGATGTGAAGGAAATAAATGTTATAAAATATGATTAGTGTTTAATTAGTCAACGTACATGGCTACTTAGGAGAAGAAGATTAGATGATGGAAAATAAGGTGGATGGAAGTTGGGAAGGGGAAGTTATTAATTAAATAAATAAAATAAGTATATTGTTATAGGAGTTAAGCTAATTTTGGGATGTAGAAGTTTGGTAGAAACGTGTGTTTGTCAAAGGAGCCACATTTGCAAGAAACCAAACTAAACCAAGCCTCCGATGTTTCAATTTTTGTGTAGGGACCGTTTTGTGAATCGGAGGATATGTTGTATGTATATGTATGTTGTAGAATATTTGAGATGTGTCTTAAGTGTGTTCGATAATTTATACTCCCTGTATTTTTAAGTGTCTCTATTTAATCGACACATACATTATTCATTATGAAACTTTAACTGATGATATCCTTAATTATCAATTATTTGTTAGACTGCTACTTATAATATCAATGCATCATTGAAATGTTACATGTTGTTTGAAGTGACTGTAACATATTGATAGCCAATAACGTTTGTCAATTTTAATGTAAATAACAAATTAATAATGCAATAACTAATTAACAACTTTATAATATGTATGTATAGCCTTAAATGACACTTATGTGATATAGCGGATCGGAGTATGAATCGTATTACTGTTACGACTTACGAGGTAGAACTAACCTAGCTACCAGCATTCCCTTAGTTGTCCGAGTCAATGTGCTTTCTTGCTAAGCTAGTGGCTATTAAGGGGAGTACGATGTGGGGCTTGATTGACAACTAGTTGGGTTTCAAATTAGCTAGCTTGGGTTAGGTAACGGGTTAAATGGGACCAAGAGGGCATTAATAGTTGATTATAATTCTTGACAGTATAATCAAAAGATTGAGACCTAACTAAATAACTATGGATGAAAATGAGGTGGGTCGAATGTCGCAAATTGCTTATTCTTTTGAATATGATAGTAATTTGTTTGCAACATTTTGTACTCAAAACTCTCTTTGCAATGCATGGTTAATGATTTTTATTTGTTTCTTTATTTCATCTTCAATATGTGTATAGATTTTAATCCTAGCTAAGTCCTCTTTTACCCTCTTTCAAAAAAAAAAAAAAAAAAAAAAAAAAAGGGTCCTCTTTTACCCATGAAAAAAAGGAAAAAGGACATTCTCTTGTTATAAATATCTCTAATTTACTATATCATCATTTTGTATAAAGGTAATATCGTAATAGAAATGAATAACATTAGTAAATCTATGTAATGTATTAGAATTTTTTCTCTAATCTTGACTTAAATTTAACACGGAATTGAACCATTCCTTTATAAAATTATTCGAAGAGAACTCTGTTCATCTTTATTACTACTACTTACAATTCATTATTCACTTGCCGATCTAATAAATTTAGAACCAATGACCATTTGCGATGACAACCACGAAGTACGTGTGGCACACATAGTAACAAGGCCTACAACTACAAGTCTACAACAACATACAAGGGTATGTAGTTTGGTAACGGGGGTTGGTTAGTTCCGTGGGAGGGATAACAGGAGAATAACAAATGATGCAATTTATTGCAGTGAGCTGGCCATATTGCCTACCAATTTAAAGATACACACCTCTTACTCTTAATTTACTCTCTTATAGTAGCTTTAATTTTACGGACAACAGAAAACAATAGCTGGCGTATGTTGCCCTTTGTATTTAGATCTCCTTCAATTTTGTTCAAGTACTATAACATCTTGAAATCATTAATTTAGTCACAACATTAAAAAGAGTAGTCGTACTTAGATTATATTCGTTCGTCATTGATGAAGTCATTTTTTGGTTGGTTTTTTTTGTTAAGAATAGCTTAACCGCATTTTCTCAAGATTAAGAGCATTTGGTATAATGTTGTCGTAGTAATGGCCGGAATCAACTAATTATATTGTTTCTATAGTAAACAAAGTACCTGCATTTGTATATCATACTTCTTCCGTTCTATTAATATTGCAACAAGGAAGAAATTACGCATCCCAAAGCACATTTTATATATATGCTAAATATCTATAATTGTGTAAGAGTAAAAATTATAAAAAGTTGATATTGTGAAAGTATTTTATGAGACGAATCCAACAAGATCCCACATGACTATATTTTACTTAACGTATAAATCATATTATATGGTCAAACAAGAGTGATAAATATTGTAAAAAGTCCGTTGTTGCAATATTAATAGAACGGAAGAAGTACAATTTTGTGTGTGTATAAAGAGAGGTTGAATCACAAAAGGTAAAGAAATAGACGAGATTATATGTCATACCATAAATATGTACCATCTCAATACCTTAACTAAAAGACAAATAAAGTGCATAAATCAATAGTTATTTTTAATTTGACGGTTTAATCTTAATTAAGGCTTAAATAAATATGCTTAAGTTTCTTTCTGTCAAAACTTTGCTTAAATATCAACCTCATCACCAAACCATCAAATTACACTAATAATATTCATAGCTGTTTGATATTGAACGTTATGCCTCTGGATGTGCATTAAACTATTAAAGTACTTACATAAATGTAAGAATTGAGGATATTTGAAAGTTTTGGTCAACATTGACTTTTGTTGTTTGTCTTCTTACCACGACTACTGCATCAGTATGACAGTATATGACTCGATCTGCATTGTTTTTAAGTGCCGTCTTTTACTGACTAGTCACTCGGTCTTCCCCCCAAAGTCCCATACCCATTTACTCCTCCAATTTTGGCTCACTTAATAATCGTATTGTAAGTTATTAATACAACTTGTAACTATTATTAACTATTCGTATCATTACAAAATATGAATTTGGTAATGTGTATTAATCATATTTTCACTAACAACATCAAGGTAGACAGTTATGTAGTTGTTTAAAAATTAAAATTTTACTAGTTTGTGTCATGCAACATTTTGTTTACACGGGACATCAAAGTACGTGTAATACTAGTATATATCGTGGATCATTTTTATATATGGAGTATTTCGAATCGTAATGCTATCATATCAGATCAATAAAATAATATCATGAACTAATTGACTCACAAAATAAATATAGAACCTTACCAACCACTTTTCCTATGCTTAGTCTCTAGCCTCTTACTAGGTTTACAATTTATTTTGTTGTCTACATCGTAAAAAATAGACTAATTTCAACCCATGATTTAGTTTAATTCACTTGTTGTTTTTTAACTTCAATAAATCTGTGCAATATAAATACAATTCGTCTTTCCTTGGTCTCTCTGTGATGGAGTCGTCATTTGTTTGTTTACTAGTTTGTTTCTCGATTTATCATTATAAAATTAGTTAATTGATCATTCAAATGATATCATGAAGAAATTGACTTACCTAATAAACAAATAAAGAAAAAAATAACCTTAACAACCACCCTTCCTTTGCTCGGTCTCCTCTTACTAGGTTTATAATTTATTTTGTTGTCTATATCGAAAGAAATTTGACTATCTTCGAACTTTTTTTATTTATTTCACCTTTTCTTTTTTAAATTATTGCGTGACAACCTTGACATTCAACCATCACAAGAGTCTGCACGACAGAATAACCATAGGTTCAAATTTCATCCATTTCTCCTTCGGGTGGAATATTTAGCAATCAAGGATTCATGAGTTTCAACATAGCTTAAGTTATGATGAAGTCGTAGTACATGTTGTTGGACTTACTAGGTATTATGATTGCTATGAACAATGGACCAATCAACCCAAGAATATTTGCATAGATTATATACGGGTTGGCCCATAACTCCCTATGGGCTATAACAAGCAATGGTCCAATATAGCAACTCAAATACCATATCCATTATCTATGAAGCTAACATATAAGAGCACTACTAATGGTGAGCTAAAAATTTGCTCATGGGCATTTTGAGTGGGCATAAAATTTGCTCATGCATTATAATGGTGAGCAAATGAGAAAAAGCCAAAAAATGCTCATAAGTATTTCTGAAAATGCCCAAGACTTGAGCATTTTTTAAGATGAATAGTGCTCTGGTGGGCCCCACAATTTGCAATGGTTATATTTTTTGTAATGCAAATTCTGAAATAAATATTTATTAAAAAATAAAAATAAAATTACAAACGGTCATAAAATATAATTCTCTATAAATAGACATGCATTTTGATATATTTTGGTATAATTTCAGAAATACCATAAATCCTCCATATTCTTTATTTTAACGATAAAAACGACACAAATAAAAAAAAAATAAGTTACACAAATTTAGACTAGTTTTTATTTATTTGGAGTAATATTGTTAAAATATAAATGAAATTAATAAATAAAGAAATGTTGTGTAGGAGAGAGAAAGTAATGGTGGGGTATTGAAAAAGTAAGAGAGAAAGAGGAGTGGACAAACATTTTTTTTGCTCACTATTGGGAGAAAAATTGTGAAAAAAATTGTGAAAAAAATTTACCCATCAGCAAAACAGATTTGTTGAGAGAGAAAGTGGGTAGAGAGACAGTGGGTGGGCATTTTTTTTTCCACCATTAAGATTGGTCTAACCGAAGAAAACCAAGTTCTATCGAAGAAGAAATCAATTGAAAAAAAAATGACTGCAAATTCAGAATCAGAACCTCAAACATCTTCATCTTCTTCCTCAAATTCAACTATATCAACAACAACAACAGCTGGTTCTTCTTCAACATCTGGTTTAATTTTGTCAAACACAGAAATTATACTATCTTTCCTCAATTCATCATCATCATCTTCATCAAATCTCCCTGAAAATCTCCGGCAATCTGCAGTTTCTCTCTCCTCTCAATCTTCCCTCCCTTATCAATCTCTGAGATCCATCTGGGTTGCCTCTAACCCCACTACTAGACCCTCTCTCTCTCTCCTCCTTCGCGGTTCTTCTTTCCTCTTCAACAGCCCTAAACCTCGAGAAAAGGTATCAGCTTTACTCTTCCCCTTAATTTTATTCTTTGAATTAGAGTTTTTCTGGGTTTTAAATTTTGCAATCAATTCAACCTTTTATTTTCTGTTTTGGTGATGATTGACTGATACTTAGATTGGGTGTAATAAACTATTAAATGTTTTTGGGGTGAAATTGCATTTTGTGGGCATGTTGGATATGATTAGTTATAGCTGTTCAAATTCTATAGTGTGTTTAGAATTAAGAAGTAATTGTTTGTTGAGTGTATTTTCCATGTTTTTGAGTTTTAATTATGATTGATGATGTTATTAAAGTAAATGTGTAACAAGTTCTAATTTTGTAGTTGGTATATTGATTATTCAGAAAAAAATGCAGACTATCTATTTTTGCTCTTATGAATTTTGATAATTGATGAATTAGTATCTCTTCCTACATTGCTGTCTCACTATTGATGGTGGTATATGTATCTTGATATATTAGTGTTTTTGCTGCATTTTTTAGAATTATTGAGTATGATGTTGATAAATCTATATAAATAATTTACAGTAATTTGAGGCCTCTGTTTAGGTGATTGGTTTCAGGGTGTGTATTCTGAATTTTTTATGATCATTGGATAATTGATGAAGGAATTGAAGTACTTGTAACAAGTTTTAGTTTTTCTGCTGTGATGCTTGAATGCTTGTACTTGAGTTTCATCTCATTTTCCCTAAAATACTTTGATGTTCTCGGGAATGATTAGAGGCTAGAGATTGGCGTGGCCAAGTTTATTTTATTCGTGTAGCTTATGCTGGTTAGATATGTGTCTGATGCTTGGGGATTTCGGTTATGTTTAGAGTGAAGAGCTGAAAGCAAGGTTGAAGAAGCTAGAGGAGTTAGCTGAGAGGAAAGCATATGCAGAGCTTGTGAAAGATATTACTCCAAAGGAGCCAAATGAGCCCTTTTCAACTTACAAGGACCAACTTGGATTTGGTATGTGGCTTCGAACTTTTACTTGCTTAACTCATGTTCTCTATTTAATTGTAGCTCAACCTGCATGCTAAAAATATGTCTATTGTAATTGATGATAACAAGATATTTGTTACAAACTTACGACGTGCTTTCAATTCTGTTAATGTCGGTTCCTTTTGTTTTCTCTCTTAAAAAAATATCTGGCAATTTTTGTGAAGTTGCTTGGTCAGATTTCGCCTTCAATTTGTTTCAAAGGTGTTAGGTTCTTCTTTGAAATGAAGTTGACACGTCAATTGGACTGGCCGACAGCCAAACCCTACTTTCTTGTGAACCTGTGATAATATGATGTACTAAAAGCTAGATTAGACTGATTTCTGTTTCAAGTCTCTGGAAAAGGAGGAGTTCCTTGATAGTACATTTGGTAGATTTACAAATGATTTGATATCTAGATAACTTCCTTGAGAAGTTCTACATATAAACAAATAGTTATGTCAAAGAGAAGATCCACTGTTGCTGGCTTGGTAGATCCAGCACTTGGCAGTATGCACCACCTGCCCCATTATTTACAATCTTCTGTACTTATCTTCAAATCTACCTATGGTTTCAGTATCCTACCAAGATTACTCGTTTTTCCTCATTCATACTGTGGATAAGTGTCTAACTACCTGCTTCTCATTTTGGTCTATGCTCAGTAAGTCGGTAGGGGTGAGCACGGATTGGATATTGGATATCCGATCCGAAACTGGGTTTCCGTTCGGATATCCGTATCCGAAAATTCCTATATTTGATATCCGTATCCTATCCGAAAATATTCGGACATCCGATATCCGGATATCCGAAAATTTCGGATCGGATACCTCGAATATCCAATATCCGGCCTTTTTAAAAAATATTCATTTAAGGGAAATTGATATACTAATTTAATCGCCAAATTTTTTTTGTTAAGGCAAATTGATATACTTAGTATATTGAAGTTGAGCCAAAAGCAAATTAAACAACTCCAAAAAATAAAAATAAAATTAATTCATTGCAACAACTAAGGAGAGGAACAAATAGATTAGAAAATTTTAAAATCAAACAATTAAATTCACCAATTACAAATCAAAGAAATTTTAAACTAATTGACATTGAGAAGAAGCAGAGAAGAGAAGCTGCCGGACCGCTGGCGGATGCGACGATGGTGTGCTGCGGGTTGAAGCTAGGCAATTGCGTAAATGGGTCGTGGCTGGAAGGAAGCCGTGGTGTTGCGGGTGTTGTTGCGTATTATCGTGGATGTTGATGGCGGTGGCTGGAGGGAAGCCATGATGTTGCGGATGTTTGTTGCAGATCGTTGTCGTGGGCCGCTGGTGGTTGCAGTCGTGAGGAGGGAAGCCGAGCAAGCTGTTGGTGGTTGTGGATGTTGATGGTGGTGAATTGAGGGAAATCAGAGTACAGAATTTTTCACCAAAAAAAAGATCTGATAGGACCATAGGAGAGAGAAGATAAAGAGAAGAAAGAGAAAAGAGAGTGAGAGGCGGTGGAGGGTTTGCGAAATTGGAGGGTTTTGATTTAGGGTTAGCTGGGTTTGGTATTTGGGCCTTTGGGGGTATTTAGGCCTCTGGGGTATTTAGGGTTTGCTGATTTGAGTATTTTTTCGGATTTTAGATCGGATATCCAATACCCAAAATTTAATATTTCGATATCCGAAACTGATTTTGGATCGGTTATCCAAAATTTTCGGATCGAATACGGATCGGATTTTCAGATAGTTTTGCTCAGCCCTATAAGTCGATAGTCATTATCATCCTTGCTACTGTGGTCAATGAGAAACCCATCCAAGGCTTTTTAGAATAACAAGTGACTACACAATTTGGATGCACATACTTGATCAGTCAATCTTGTGTAATGTGTACTGTAGGAATCGTCTTTTTTCTGTTTTCTGCAACATTTCTCTTCACTGTCTAATAACTCCTTTTAAGTTATAGGCAGTATGCAATTTCCTATAAACACCAATCCAAATTTGCCTCTTGTGCTTGTGCTGGAGTAAGGATTAGTCTTGATTATGAGTATATGACCTACCAGAATCCACTGAAGGCAAGATCCTCCTTAGGTCTTGAACTCCTGATGTTTTCCTATATGCTTGAGTGAGAAATTCAACTTCAAAAGGTATTCAGCTCCATCAAGCATTACCTCGCCTTTAAACCCTTTTTTTTTTTTTTTTTTTTTTTTGGGGGGGGGGGGGGGCGGGGGTTTCAAAATCTGAAATTTGGAGATTCATTTTCAAAGAATCCAAACAACGGTAAAATTTCAAGAGACATGTGATGTACAAAGTGTATATTTTCCAAACAATTGCTTCTTAGATTCTTAGAATGATCTTTATTCTTACATTTGCATAATAAGGCCTCGTTTGGTTGACATGAGAAATAAATTCCCGTAGAAAGTTGTATTTCATGGGAAATCATTTCCCCCAAATGAAATTAGAATGATCTTTATTCTTACATTTGCATAATAAGACCTCGTTTGGTTGACATGAGAAATAAATTCCCGTAGAAAGTTGTATTTCATGGGAAATCATTTCCCAAATGAAATTCCTAGGAATTTCTTTAACTTGTTTGGTTGTGCAATGGGAAGTTGGAATTCCCATGAACTTTGAATGACCAAGGGGGGGTTAGGTAATTCACTTCCTACATTTTGTGGGAAGTGGAAATTCCCATGAATTCCAACTTCCCCCATTTTTACTTTTTTATATCAACCAAACAACTATCCAAATTATAAAATCCCATGAATTTTAACTTCCCCAATTTTACTTTGTCAACCAAACAACCCCTAAGAATATCACTAACTTCAGCTGTTCTGCAAACTGGAAAGAGTTTTGGGCTCTGTTAACACTTTTATTCCTCTTTCATTGCTTGGCTCTTGTCCCTTTGATCGTGACTTCAATCTACCTCTGTTGCTTATATGTTTAACTTGGAAACAAATTAACTCCTCTAAGCTCCTACTCTGTTTTTTTTTTTTTTTTTTCCTTCTCCTATAGATTTTTCATACTACAAAAGAGAGTGGAAATACATAATGTTTGGTTAAGCTAGCTTGAATGAGAATGATATTTTACCAAAATGAAAGAAAACTGTCTCCGCATTATTATATCCATAATTTAACTCGGAAGTTGAACTATGAGCATGCTTCTTGTATTTCTTGTTCAGATTCTGCCTTTTTTAAAAAATATTATCAAGCATGTATCTGCTACTTGCTTGCTTGCATGTGGTTTAGATTTAGCTTAGCTAAGATCAGGTTATGTTTTGCAGGTTTACATGTCGTGGTCATAATGTTTACTGGTTACCTTGTTGGATACATTGCCTTCAGGGCATTGTTTGACCGTAACCCGATCATGGTAAGTTGATGGAACTTTCACATAAATTATGCTTATAATTGAAGTGAAATTGCTAATGGCAGGTGAATTTTTATTTTCAGAGTACTGCAGGAGGCATCCTAGGTTTGGTTCTTGGCATGCTTGTGGAAACCCTTTTATTCATCATTAGAACTACTGATTACAGTGAAAAATCATCTAAACCTCGCCCGCCTTCTAACTTGAAGTTCAAGAAAAATCAATAGGATCTTAGGTTGAGATTCCCCTCAGGCACGCCTCCTTCTCTTTCTCTTACTTGTGTTCCTCACTTAAAAGAGATAGGTGTTCTTGATTTCCATGTGTTGTTGTATACACTTTTTTCCCCAATAAATAAGGCTTATTTAATTGTACACACAACGGAGTATATAATTAAGCTAAATGTAGCTAGAGTCAAAGCACAATAGAACCTTCAGTTTCTTGTATACATTAAGAAGCCATATCAAAGTTTAAATCTTTACTTAGCTGAGAGGTTTTTTCAATCCTCACGGAGAAAAACTGATAAACTGCACATGTGTTTTGAAGATTGCGTTGAAAAATAGCGATTTTTTTTTTTTTAAAGGTTTATTGAAAGAAGCGGCTTTACCTGCCAATTTTAATTGATTTGATGAGCTTTCTCTAGTTTCAACTTTCAAGTAGCTCATGTGAGATTGTCTATTTTTTTTCAAACGAGTTTCAAAATCGTGTTTGGATCAATTTCGGTTCAATTCAAATCATTATCGTATATTTTCGTGTACAGCATAAACATGGATCGGGTAAGTTTTATCCTTGATCTCTTCAGGTGGGAGACTCGTAAATGCATGGGAATCGGGTAGCATGGCAATATCTTTTTTGTTGATCTTACAACTTTCTATAAATATAAATCATGTTTATTGTACCCTGTTTTGGAGATTGAAGAAACTTTTCAACTTGTTTGGTTGGGTTATGGGATTATGGAAAGTAGGTTATACTTTAGTATCTTGTCTAGAATGTCTACGGTCTTGCGATCGGAAATCTGTCATGTGATTATGGGTGAGTAAACTTCGCATGATCCGAGTCTTCACATGCACACTACAAAAAGTGTTATCGGGTTCGATGTACCTGTACTTTATAGCTAGATTAATGCAATCCAATCTTTTTTTTTCTAATTTAAAAGTAATTTAAGTAAATGTTTTTACTTACGTTAGCAAATCACTCTTGTTATGGACCAAAACAGGGAAGAAATAAGAGGTATTATAATGCTGTTAATTTCAATATCAATAGTTACTATACCGATCAAACTAGATATGGGAGTCATATTCAAAGAAAACAATCAATATCCAACACAAAGTTAATGAGAATTACCTAAACCTAATATGATCGTCACATTATTTGATAGACTAACCTGTTTATCATATTTTGTTATTGTGTATGTCATGTATCTCTATAAATTTGATTATAGTCCAATAATACAATTCGAAATAGGCACAAGGTATACGTCCACTCGAATAGACTTTGTCGAATTCTACCTGATTATGATGTACTTGGTAAGAGAGTGTTGTTTCTTGAATACGTTCATAAGGGGAATGGATCGGACCATAGTTTTGGTACCATTTCAATGAAGTAAGGACGCCGAGAATCCACTTGTAAGAAAACCATTTGCCATAGAAAGCAACCTTCAAAGTTTCTTTCGTCATAAAATTAAAAATTTGAAAAGACTTCCATTGTTGTTAACACTCTCAAGTAGCACCCACAATTTGGGAATATGGTAAAATCCAATTCTAAAAATGGCAATAGTAATGGCACAAATATGATTGTAGTGGGGACCTAAATAAGAAACCATAAAAGGGCACACAGTTTGGACATATATACATAATACAACAGTGATCGTACCATTTGTGCGGTTCATCTTTCTTTGTGGCGAAATCTAATTAGAAACCATAGAAGTGCACACAGTTTGCACTAGCATGTGTGCATGATTAGCTTTCTTTCTAGTGTTAGGTTTTTGGACAGTTTCTAAATTTAATCAATCTACTACATTGTCATTTGTCAACATACACATCGCAGAGTTTTGAATAGTTGAACCTAATGCAATTCTGCTTGACGGGCTTTGATTGATCGAATTAGGTTGTCTATCTAATCCTAATTAACCCAATCTTAAAACATATGTGTTCGACAATAACTTTTTAGATGAATTATTTCGACTTAATTCCCAGATACTATTTTATGACAATCAGGCAATGCATATACTCGTACATTTTAAGGTAGTCCATTAAAATTTTACTTCTTATTACAGTACCATAACTAGCTTCCAGACTGTCTTTTTGCAAAATTATGAAAATCAACTTCTTTTTTTTTATTTATTTTTGTTATTTAAATTACTATTTTGAATTATTTTTTATATTGAACCCATTAATGGCTTTAACAACTTGTATCTTATACTTTGTACCTAATAGTTAGTGCGCCAATTTAGTTGCAAACGAGTGAGTCAAGCAAAGAAGTAGAATGTTTATGTTCATTAATCTAATTATAATTGAATCAAAACTTTATCAAAGCTTTACTCTCTTCATTCAAACTTTACCCAAGACACTTTTAAGTTTGTACTGCTAGGTAAAATGAGTAATGAACTCCAAAATTTCCCTATGCAATGATTAAACTTAGACCATCTTCAATGGTGAGACTTTACTTTAGGTATCAAAATACAAAATGAGTTGTTATTTACATCCAATGGTTATACCCAATCCACTTCTCAATTTAGCAACTCATATGATACATAATTTCTCAATAGTGAAACTTTCTTTAAGTATACTAATTGTCATTGTTCAATATGACCCACTACATCCAATTAAATAAACAATTTAAAATTTTTACAAAAACATGAAAAATTAAATAAATAAATTAATCAATAAAAAATTAATAATAGCCCACTTTTTTCCATCAATTAAGACTCAAAATTAAGTATCTAAACTTAATTACATTCCCTTTAAGTCTCCCCTTATGCTCTCAATCTATCCATTTATCCGTACATTGCATAGCCTTTTGTCGTTACATTCCAAGTGGCATCTTAAGACTTCCAATTAACATTTTCCACGTGCCACGTATACACTTTTTTCAACCATTTCCCATTTTAATAAAAACAGTCATACTCTTATTAGTTACTGTATTACTCTCTCTCCTCGACCACCTCCCACGCGTGTGCCTTACGTTCAGCAAATCACGTGACTCCTTACACGTGTCACCTTCCCATTAACCCTTTCTCATATATATATCCACCTCAAAGTCCACCTTTTCTACTCAGATCTTCGCCTTCTTCTCTTTTTTTTCACTCGAAAAAATAAACACCATGAAATCTGCACTTCTAAGAACCGGTTCAATCCCGGTTCAAACCCTGAACCAGATACCTTCACTAAACGGAAGTTCTTGTTCTTCTCCAAAGATTTCATTCCGGTCTGAAAATTGTGGGTTTAACAAGATTAGACGGTCTAACTCCGATACTGAGTTGACTCGTTCCGAGTTGATGATCAGCTCCCGTTTAACCCGAGTTGGATCGGTTTCTTTTCCCGATTTAGGTGTTATTGCTGAAGAGGAATTAACCGGACGATTCGGAATCGGAATTGGAACCGGAAATGGTAAAGGGAATAATTATGGAGGTAAAGGAAAAGGTGGGAGTAACAATAATAATAATGGTAATGAAAAGGGTAGTGTTGGAGAGTATTACCAACAAATGTTAAAGTCAAATCCTGGTGATTCTTTGCTTTTGAGAAACTACGGGAAATATTTGCATGAGGTAACGTTTCCGATTTTAATACTTAATAGTCATGTGAATATTTTATCGTATAATTTGACTGTATAACGTGACAATTTAATCTAGGGAGTTTTTCTCGTCTGTTAGACCTTATTAGACTTATTCGTTTTGTATGATTATAAGTATTCACTCTATTCAAAATTAATAATCACGTGAATATGTGATCGTGCAACTTGAACAAATTAAATAGTGTGACAATTAAATTTTTTTACGAGAATGTAACTATGTGATGATTGTTTGATTGATGATGTAATTGTATAAATATAGGTGGAGAAAAATGTGGAGAAAGCAGAGGAATGTTATGGGAGAGCAATATTAGCAAGTCCAGGAGATGGAGAATTATTATCATTATATGGGAATTTAATTTGGGAAACTTCAAAGGATGAAGATCGAGCTCAATTTTACTATGATCAAGCTGTGCTTGCCTCACCTGATGATAGGTAATCAATTGTACTGTATTGCCTATTTTATTCATTTTTTGCCTTTCTAGTTTTCATTATTTGTGTATATCGGTTAAAAGTTTGTATTTTTATGTTGACTTGATTCTTATTACAGTATATTTTTTTGGTATTGATAGCATGGTATTAGGATCATATGCACACTTTTTATGGGAAGCAGAGGATGATGAAGAAATAATGAAGCATGGAAGTGATGCTGTTCCTGCTATGATTGGAGCTCACTAATCAATAATTCAAGAATTGGGCTCCTTAACTTTTGATTTTGAGTTTTAACCTTTTTAGGGCATTTAAATAAAGTCATTTTGTAATGTATTGAGTTTTCATGTTTTTACTAACCTCTAAAACTATGTATTACTTACTATTAGTAGGGAATAAATAGAATGATGCATGTAAAATGAGAGATGCAAGACTACAATTAATATATGTATAATTTTTATTTATATGATTAAGTAAATATATATATTATCACATCTATCTCTGAATTAATGTTTTTTTCCACTGTTGTCAATACTATATCTCCAAAGTTTTTTATTTTTTTTAATTTTGATATTAGTAGTAAATTTTGATTTTTCTAAGATTGAACAACCAAATATAGAGTAAATACACTGTGTAGATACTTTGAGTTATGATTTATGAATACTACATATCTGTTATCGGTAATTCAATATGTAAGATGTCTAAAGATCAACTAGTTGTAAGAAAGAGCTAGATCAAATCTCAAAAAATAAAATAAAAAGGCATTGATAAGAGTATTGAATAATTAATAATTAGATAAATGAGAAGCAAATCAAAATCCATCTCTATCCATATAATATGGGTATCATGTGATCATGTTCCTAATATAGAGAGCAAGCTAAGAGAAGAGGAACTTTTTTTGAAAACAAGCTAAGAGAAGAGAACTTGTAAAACAGAAAACTACAACAAAAAAGAGTTGAAGAAGAAAGAGATTTATTTTTTCTATTTATTTCAATTTTTCTTATGATGTTGAGGTTTATCAGGAGTTTTTATTGAACGTCGCTTGTAACTTTGCACATGATTTCATTAAGCTTGTAAAGATTTGATATTTGATAGGCATTATTTAATCACTGTTTTTTCCAACTTCCTACAATTTGTCATCTTTACACCAACTTAATTAGTAATTGTTGATATTTTTGTGCATGTTAATTATTGTCATTTATTATTTAAGGATGTGATTGGAATTGTCCTTTTTGGCTGCTTCATCAAATTATCAGTATCTAATTAAAGAATACTTTAATCCATCATGATCTTTGGATAATGATCTAATCTTATCAATTAAGTGTTTGATGATGTTGACTAATTGTTTAAGCACCTAGACAGGTTATGAGATTTTCCTAACGACATGATAATACTTTCGTATATGATTATATGAATACATACGCTTGTAACGACAGGTTACGCTTGTGCATAACATTACAAATGTATTAATCATGACATAAATGCTAATCTTTATATTCCTCAAAAACAAAAAAAAAAAAAAAAAAAAAAAAAAAAAAAAAAAAAAAACTAATCTTTATACTTATTGGGCCATTTAGATTGATACGGAGTAGGTGTTTAAGGTGGCCCAAATGTTTGATAAGATTCACCAATCACCATGTTGCCCCGGCCATTTACTCTTATTATTGTATAGATACAGTGGAAGTTAGTGTTTTTTTTTTTTTTTTTTTGAGAAAACACAGTGGAAGTTAATTAGTAATTTAGTACGTAGTTGATTAAGGCTAGATACCTAGATTGTATGTGCAATGTGTTATTCTTTATTGATATTTTTTTTTCCTCAATATTCTTTCATATGACACATTGAACACTCAATTGATGCTCCAACATTATTACTTCAAATTACCAACACAAGTAATGAAGTAATGCTTATCCTGTTGATTAGGGTTAGATGGTATATACGAGAGGTAAATTTCACTAATTCTCACAAGTGCTTAGTGATACATTCAATTTCAACCTTATTTGCCTTGTGACACGCCTTGAATTCTCAATTGATGGTCCAATATCATTGTTAATCTCATCGAAATATTATCTATAATCAATGTAAAGCTCTACTAACAAATATAAATGAACTACAAAAACTAACAATGATCCTATCTTAACCATACCAATGCAAGTAATGCTTCTCGAAACTCTATATCTTTTATATAATCATCAAAAACATTATCAATAATCTCATTTCAGCATGGTACACCAATACACTATCAAGGACATCAACTAATAGTATGGTACACTATATGAATACTCCTTATCAACTAAATACCAGAATACTCCGTAATATTTAATTTAAATATGAGATCAAATCGTGTTTACTCTGCCATTATGCCAGGTGGTTTTCCTCAATAGTCAAGGGCCTAAAATTGATTCAAGTCATTTAGCCCGCCCCAAACATAGAAAACGGGCTAATTTACAGCCGTCTTCAACCTTGCACCCCTTTCTTCCCTCTTCCGTCTTCTTCTTCTTCTTCTTCCTGCGTATTTCTCTCTCTCTTTCTCCTCGAACGCAAGCTTCACAATTGATAACAATGGCGAAGAAAACTAAGGAACAACCCAATAAAACTTCAACTCCAAAATCTGAAGAAAAATCCGCAACTTCTAACAACATTTTAGACAAATTATTCGGCGAAATTCCTGATACCGAAGTCTCTAATTCCTTGTTTTCTTCCGAAAATCCCTTTCGAAGAAAGCCAACAGATTCAATTCAAACATCCCAAATCCCTGAAACACCTATTAATGTCGAGGTTTCGAAGTCCGAATCCAAGACAAAGAAGAAAAGCAAGGACGAAAATTCTTCTGTTGAGGTTAAGAAATCGAAGAAGAAAGATAAATTAGAGAAAAACCCTAATTTGGGAAGTATTGTTAATGGGTCGGAATCAAATGTGAATTTAGAGGAGAAAGAGAATAAGAAGAAGAATAAGAGGAAGAGAGATGAATTGGAGAGAGAATATGAGGTGAAGAAATATGGGGTTGCACCAGATGAAGAAGATGAGAAGAAAGAGAAAGTGGGTGGTGGGAAGAAGAGGAAGGCGTTGGATAATCCTGCAGAAATGATGGTTTCTCAAGAAGGGTATGATGATGAGAGTAAGCTTTTGAGGACTGTTTTTGTTGGGAATTTGCCATTGAAGACTAAGAAGAAGGCTTTGTTGAAGGAGTTTAGTCAATTTGGGGAAATCGATTCTGTTCGAATTCGTTCTGTTCCTACATTGGATGTGAGTTTGTGGCATTTTTCTTAGTTGTAGGGATTTTATTTTGTTCTTGGGTATGATTTGGTTTGTGTTATTGAAATGATTTTTTGTTGTTACAGAGCAAGAAGCCGAAGAAAGCTTTGGTTATTAATGGGAATCTCAATGAGGCAGTTGATAGGTAATTTCTTTTCATGTATAAAAGATGAACTTATTGGTTTGCTTTGTGTTTTTGTTATATACTGCAGTAGATTATATGTTTTGTTATATTGTGTTTTGAATTGCAAAACACATTGATTTACATTGAGCAAAGTACATGGTGATTGGATAAATCATAAATGTCAGCAAGTTGCAATTAGTTCTAGCCATATGTGATGAAAGCGTATTGATCCTGTTGAATGTTTGATTTAGTATTTCTTACATGTCATTCAGACTGTTTCCTAGGTAATGTTTTTGGAGAAGTTTTGATATTAGATAATTGAATATTGAGGTTAGTTGAAGAATACATTAGGGTTTAAGACAGCTACCAGTGTGATTGGTAGAAACCGAATTGCAAAGACATTGTCGTGGTAGGTAGGGAAATTAAATTGTGTTTGTTTGGTGAATGGCTGTGGGGATGGGGATATTTTGTACAAGAATGTGAAGAATCTTAAATCAAAGAACGAGCTTATATCACATGAGGATGATTAACAAAACATCCTTTAATCCCAGAGTTTTGATGCAAGAACAACCAAACTGATTGCCATGAAGCATTACAAAGAAAATTTGCTTTCATGACATCCAAAAGTGGATTAACCCACATTAAAAGCTGAAAATAAAAGCTGAAAGTAGTAAGAAAGACAGCAAATAAAGCAGCGGCAACTGTAGACGACATAGGGGAGTCCAAAGGGGACTCAAGAGGGGCAGCAGTAACAGTCTGTCAGTCTAATCAGTCCCCATTACGGGCAGCCATAGCGTTGGCCAGCTCATCAGTGTAAGTCTTGGTGAGCGAAGGAGGGGAATAAAAGTGGTACACAGGTTGATCATCAACTCGGTGTCTACACAGGTGAAGAATCTTTTGTCAGATAGTTTGTTATAGCTTATAGGGCATCGGAGATATTTGCTCTCACCTCCTTTATTCATCAAACTTAATTTTTTCCCCTTCACATATGAAATGGAGAATAAAGGAGTAAGACTATGTACTTTTCAGAAATAATAAGATAGAGAAATTCAGCTGGTCTTTGTTTCAGATGAGGGTTTTCAAGTGAGAAGAAAGAAACATTCTTGACTTGTATAAAGGGTTTATATCTCGATTGTATATTTGTATCTAGTTTGCTTGGCTGATTATCTGGTTTTGCCATACATTAGAGTACTTGTTCATGTCTTCATGATATGCTGTCTTCTTCATGTGTAACTGGCTAAATGATTTAGATTATCCACGTACAATTTTCTTTGTATTTTCTGATAATGACCTTTATGCAGTGTCAATGCCTACATTGTATTCAAAACAGAGCAAGCTGCTGAAGCCTCACTAACCTATAATATGTCTATGGTATGTATGCTGTTTGGTGGGAAAATTATCTGCTGATGTTTATATCTTTTCTTTCCTGAGTAAAGTTTCTGGTTGACTGCCTTTCCTTTTTTGACCCATAATTAACTTTGGTTTAGATTGGAGGGAACCATGTCCGCGTTGACAGGGCGTGCCCACCTCGGAAGAAACTGAAAGGAGACGACGCTTCAGCTACTCTTTATAATAATAAGAGGACAGTTTTTGTGGGTAATTTGCCATTTGATGCTAAGGTATATGCTTGATATGCTTATTTCTTTTCTTTTTAAAATTGTCTATTTCATTCATATTGCTTATGTTGCTCATTGGCTGCTTTTGAAACAGGATGAGGAACTTTATCAGTTATTTTGCAACACCAGACAACTTGAATCTAGCGTTGAGGCTGTTCGAGTGATTAGGGACCGACACACAAGTCTTGGAAAAGGGATAGCTTATGTCTTGTTCAAAACAAGGGTATGCCTTGTTCTCTGTCTATGCAATATCCATCATGTGCCTAATAAATATTGATTTGCTGCAGAGAGAGGATACATTTCCAATTGAAATGAATTTATTGCATGAACAGGCAAATCTACCTATTAATTTTGACTTTGCATCTTTTTGCTGCTGCATGTATTTCGAATTATGGAGGTGTTAGGACATCATTGAGAGGTTGCCTGTGTTTTCCTTTTGCAATTTATTTAATGATTTAATTGCATAAAATTACGTTTAACTAGCAATTTGTTGCTGGAAAATTCAGAATTTTAGAAATAAGGAAGAGATGTGACGAAAATTGGAGAGTTGATCACTTGATTGCTATTTGATGCAATTAAATCACCAAAATTTGGTTTAAAGTCCTTGTCTTACGGGAGTGGATGGACAATTCCTATAACAATATAAAGCAAAGTAAAATAGAAGTCATTCACAATTTTCTTTGTGGTTTATCCCTCTTTGATTTTCTCTTTGTATAGTATTTAATTACCCCACTAATTTCTTCTCCAAGCTTATTCTAACTTCTAATTGTGCATTGCCTGCACTATTCCTCCTCCTTAAGCTATTTAGTTACATATCCCATGATAGAATATGTATGTTGTTGCATGGAAATAATCAGCTTTTATCAGTCTGCTAATATTGTTCAGTGTTTTAGTAGTCAATAGCCCATATTTGATAAATACTTATATGTGTATCAACTATTAACCATAAGTAAATTTATTTAGTTCATCACATATTCTTCTGTAGGAATTATGAAGATCCATGTCCATCTAAAATTAAATTTTGGCAAGTATTAGTCTTCACATCTTTCATTGTGACTGTATTAGTGCGGATGTCTTGTATATTGCTACGCTGGAGCATGGATGTGTGAACTTATGTCTCCACTATCCTTGTCCCTTGTTTAGGTGAGGGTGTGCAAGGACATGTACCCCTTGGTATACTTGAAGTTTAATGTATGCATCAAAACCTGAAGGGCCACTTTTTTTTATTTTTTATTTTTATCCAAATATACTGGGATTTGGGGCTTGTCTGTTGTCATAAGCAGTATCACATGCTGTGGCTTGACTGCCTATTTTTCTTTCTTTTTTTTTTTTTTTTTTTTTTTTGTCGATATGCTCAATTGTTGTTCCTTATTACCACGATTGAAGTGGAACCTGCATATGTGTGCTACTACTCCCTCTGTATTTTATTACTTGCTCCATTTCTCCATGCACGGAGTTTTAGGAGAAATAGTGAAAAGTAATAAAATATGATGAAAGTGGGGTTGGTTGAATTATTAAAAATTCTTTAAAAAGCAAAAATGAGTATAAATGAGGAGGAGAGAGAATATGATAAATATTAAAATATATTATGAGGGGACCATTAGTGGGGAGGGAAATAATGAAATATTATTTAAAAGTTTCCAAAAAAGAAAATGGAGCAAGTAATAATTATGGCCGCAAAAGAAAAGTGGAGCAGGTAATAAAATACGGAGAGAGTATATTTTATTATAAATTTGTAAAACACTGGTTGTCACAGGCATTACGAATTTATGACAATAGGTGAAATTTTTTTATTTAAATATTTTTTTTTACCAAAACATCACTTCTACTGCGTATATTATTTTCTCTTTGCTCAAATATTGCTGATGTTTACATGATGGCTTGTGGACTCTTAAGCAGTTAAGCTTATTCTGCCGGTTTCACTAGCATCTCCTTTCTAGCTTTTTCTGAGATTGACTCTTAGATTAGAGGAATATGAGTTGGCTTAGGACTTCATCTTCCAGTGATATATAGTATCTTAGTCATTGTTTTCCACCACATCATACATGTGTAAATGTGTAATGCAGACTATAGGCGTGATAGTTACATTTGTGTTGATGCTTGATAGATTGTTTTTCACATCATGTTTTTTTTTTAAATTTCTGTGATGTTCATCAGTTCATCTAGAATTCTTGAATTAAGTGAACATTTTGTTTCTTTGTTGCTTTTACTCTTGAGTATACAATTTAGTACGTAATTTATTGGGTAATCACAATTTCTTAATGATGACTTTCTTGTACAGGAAGCTGCAAATATTGTTTGTAAAAAACGCTTGAAGCTCCGAGACCGTGAATTGAGGATTTGTCACGCAAAGTCAAGCACCCAATCCTCCACACCCTCTAAGAGGAAAAGTCCAGGAGACTCGGAAAGCTCCCCTGCAAAGAAATTTTCAGCAGGAACAGATACTCGCTCCCCTGCAAAGAAATTTTCTGCAGGTGCAAAGACTCCAGAAAGTCGCTACAAGGTTGGTGCTGGTGGTGATACCTCCTACCAAGGTTTACGTGCAAGTAAATCCGGGGAGCAAAAGAAAGCCCCCATAAGAAGAACTGCTACAAAAACTTCTTTTAAACCCGCAATGAAGAGTGGAGACAAAATTAAGCAGAGGACAGATAAAAGACCATCAGTAGCAGCCAGAAAGGCCAAAGCAATTGCTATGCAAAGTGGCGGTGCTTCTATCAAAACAGGGAAAAGAAAAATGGATGCCAGAACGCCCCAGAGTTCCAACAAGAAAAAGAAGGCTATGAAATCCAAGTGAAAGGGCCTTAGTGTATAACTGTTCTCTGGCCATTTTTTGTCCTTTTGAAAATTTGTTATAGTTTTCACTCAAAAAGAGAGACCTCTGTAGTCTGGTCTAAGCAGTTAATACAGCTGTGTACAATGTCCAAAATGATACATTGCGAACCATACTCACAGTGCTGTATGTGTAAGTGTATTATGGCAATATATCATCTCCTTTGGTTTTTCACAAGCCCGAATTTTTTCTATACTGAAGCTTTTGAGAAATCTTTTGCACCTACACTTGTGGATTTGCCTTTAGAAAGCAGCTACGTTTGGGATCCCTAAAATTGAAATGTGGCGTATTATATGAAACAGAATGTCTATCCTTGTAATGATTGTAGAAGAATCAAAACTTCAACCTTTAACCTTTCACAAAAGCATAGTGCTATTATGAGTGTTATCACACTATGTGAAAAGAAAATTATTCCTGATCAACCAGCTATGTTGTGTGGCAAACTTTAATATGTTATACGGAGTACTTATAACAGAATAAGAGAGGGGTTGATCGCAATCCAACTCGAATGCATTAAATGTTTTTTTTATTTCTCCAAAAATAACTCTGTATTATTATACTCCCTAGGAATTATGGGCAGGTAGCTCTAGCCTTCTCAGCTGTGATTCCTGTGAATCAGCTGAAAACCAATCACATTTACAGCTGTCATTCCTATTAAGGTCTTAAATTGAACAAATACTGTAGTGAAGGACCAAGGACAAAATTGAATATGAAAGCACTGAAATTCCATAAAACGTAAAATGCTGTCAAATATTTTACATTGCAAAGTAAAACCAACCAACAAATCTACTAGAACTATTATCCACAACTTTCACAGAATTTTAGCTATCAGCACAGCACAGGCCTTCTTATAATGCAATTATGGAGCAGAGGAGTCGACAGGTATGATATTCTCAAGAGTTATCCAAGGTTAGACATCAGGCCCTAAGCAGCTTTCCCTAAAAAAAACCCTCGGGCTCATTCCTTCAGCAGTGGTGCGAGGGACAGCGAGCAGTTTATGACCGTATGATCTGTACAGAAGTAAGTGATCACAAGTAGGAGGTTCAGCAGTATCAGCACTAACTGAGACAAGCAAAATGGTTATGTCTTGTTCTTTGACATCAAGGTAGGGGTGACTGAAACAATCCCAATGAGGAAAAGTGTTGCTATTGACTGGAAGTCATACAGATCACCTATTGATCGCAGTTCTCCAAGAGCTATTCCAGCCTGCCAATCACAAAAGATGAAATCGTATCACACACAATATCTCCAATATCCATGGTTTAAAAGAGGAGATTATGAAAAGAGCAAATATTAAAGATGTACAACACAAAATAGGAGAAACTTAGTCAAAATTCAACGCACGAGGGGCTCTGCGCAAATTAACATGACTGAAGGGTGATTTCAGGCAGACATAAGTCATATATAACTTGACAATTTTTCATTTTCACTAAAGAAAAAGGAAAACTAATTGGTTCCATTATAGATGTGTAGGAAATACATACTCTGACGGTGACAAAGGCAGCAGGGATCAGTCCAATGAAAGTTGCCAAGAAGAAGATGTGATAAGGGATATCCACAATTGGAGAAGCCACATTGATAAATGTATTTGGCAGTGTGGGTGTTACTCTTAGGAAGAGCATGTAATTCAATAAGTTTTGACGTCTCTTTGCAACCTGAAGGTAATGGAGAAAGTATAATCAGCCTGAGAAATTGTTGGTCATGTTTAATAAACAGTTTATAAGCAGAAGTAGCTGTTACCTGAGCTTGAAAGAAAGTCAGTTTGTCCGGCCATAATGAAAAAACAAGAGGTCGTCCAATCAATTTTGACAAGAAAAAGCAAGACGAAGCTCCAGCCGTAGCAGTGAAAAGGACCAGCGCCAAACCTCTAAATACACCAAAAAGAGCTCCAGCTAACAAAGACATAAACACAGTTCCTGGAATCATGAAAGTCTGCATGAAAATGTAGACCACAGAGTATCCAACCAATACTTGCAGCGTATAGTCACTTGTGTAGCTCTCGAGATGATCTCTAAAAAACAAAGGATTAACATCAATATAACAACAGATCTTCAGTACATCATTTCTTCTTTCAATATCTGGCATTTCCAGGAAGCAATTTTTTGGAAAAAGAAAAAGTGACTCATAAATTAAACAAACACTTGACAAATGGAATAAGAAACTGAAGAGTAGTGGTATTCCAAAGCTGTTTGATGAATCTGGAATCATGACTAATGAAAGAGGACACAAAAATCTATACATTGCATATAGAAAAATGCTTACTTTATAGTGTATGCTATCAGTTCTAACTAGATCAGTCTAGGTGACTACGTCAAGTCATCAACAGCATCTCAAAACCAATTAATATAAACAATTATAAGGTCTATCAAAGACAAACCTCACAACCAGTAAGCTAAACAATCTATCACATCCAACAGCTTTAGACCCCTCAGTTTACTCTTGAAGTCACACTAAAAGTTTGAAAATAACTCAGTTTAAAACTCCTAAGAAACACTAATTCAAGCTCCAGCAAAAAACGGCATGACAAAGCCTCTACATTTAGCATAAAGACAGGCATATGTTAAACCAGCCGAGCCTCTCAACCCCGGAAATAAGCACAGCATCACCAAATACCTAATGTCATGTCACAAAGCAGGGATAGTGAGCCCATAGCAGCATCAGAATGCTTTATAATATTTGGGTCAAAATGTGATAGCAAAAGACAATGCTGCAAGTATAGTACGCAACACTTGAAGAGGCCATCAAATACTAAGTGATCAACAGATCAAGCTCAAGACAACGTAAAAAAAGTAATATCACAGTAGTGATGAGTCTGATGACCTTATTTCGAAAATCACTTATTAGTATGGCTTAACCCCCAAACTTAAGCCATAGAATTCTGCAGCTTTGTCAGAATGACTACTATCTGAAGATCATTTCCCCATTAAAGCAAAGTTCGTCAAGAAAGCTGAAAGAGATGTAATGAGTAATGACGCCTTTCATACACATAATAGCTACATCAAGTTCACAATACTATATTGAAAAGAAATTGGAACTGTCTCGCTACGCTCATCTGATGAATTTGCAGACAAACATAGAGTATACATTGTGATTGAAAACTACATCACCACCATTAATACAAAGTTATAACAATCAGAAATTCAGATTGCAACATTACCAGAAAAATTACTAAATTCCAGAAATCACAGGCTAATTAGGTATACTACTAATAATAATTTAGCTAATGCAGCAAAATCTATTGAAAAAAGCTGTGCATGCAGCTGAAAACAGATCAATACTAATTTGGACTACATGCCAAAACAGAACAAAGAAAGATAACTGTAAGTAGAATGAATTAAACAATCACATATTCCCAATAATGTCACAATTTAATTTTTGCCGTATTATACAAGAATTTGCAAATTCATAAAAGAAAAGCAATGAATAGTAACGGTATGCTAATAATAGAAACAATATTTGAACTTACCTAACCAAACATAGTCCTAACAAACAAACAGCTTATAACCCATTAATGGAACACTAAAAAGATTAAATCTTTCCCCCCTTTTTGAATAAGAAACAAAGAAAAATCCCCATATTTCAGATCTAAAAGAAAATTACAAGAAAATTAAACTCGGAATAATTTAAAAAATAATTTAAAAAAAAAAAAAGGTCAAATTTAAGCTAATAATCATAATGTAAAACTCAAAATTGCTGAAAAATAGATTAAATTTATCAATGAATACCTAAGAATTTGTAAATCCTCAAGGGTTCGAGGCAACTTGAGTAAGCTATAATCAGAAGACGGCATAGTTAAATAAACACCCAAAAGCCCTAATCCATATGCAAATACAACCCCAAAAGCTGCTGAAACTTCCCACATTGTTAATGGATACTTTGAAATTGATTTTTCTTCACAAACTAATCTTTCATCTGATTTCTCCATTTTTTATTTCAAATTTTGTACAAACTCCACAAAAATTAAAACAAAAAAAAATCAAAATTTCTGAAATTCGAGGTGTTTTTGGGTTTTCTGGGATTAAATTGTGTAATGACCAGATTTAAGAAGATAAAGAAGATTTGGTTTGGTTTACTTTTCTAACACTTCTCTGATATTTCTATTTTTTACGTTTAAGCTTTGTCCGATTTTGTGAGAAATTTTTTGAGGATATTCGTTTGCCAAAGAATAGAAATATCCTAACTTATGATTATTGATTATATAGGATTATAATTATTGACAAGATTTGTTACCCTTTTTTTTTTTCCAAATTATTGTTTGGTGGGATTAAATAAAAAATTCAAAAAAGGGTTTAATTGGGAGAGATGATGTGGTCCAACTTTGGTCATTTGTTTTCTTGTCTTTTATGATTTGTGGGTTAACACTTGACGTTTAAATGGAGAAGTTCAGATGTTGATTTCATTTCATGTTCATATTAATGATGTCTTCACCATGTTTTTAATTAACATAATAATATCCGGGGTGTGTCAATTCTACATTCGGGTGTTTAGGATAACATCTAAAAAACCTTAATATCTCACGCTTCATTCGAGTCATTTCTTTTTGGTAAGTCATTCAAGTCATGTGTAGTGTACGTGTTATTGTGTTAGTATGTGACCAACTAACAAGTCTAGGTCATCCGAGTATACATTAGACGACATGCCGAAACACTAATATAAGCTCATATGCATGGCTTAATGCATGCTACACCAGGTGGATGGAGCAGTCTCAGGGAAAAATAGCAAAGAACACGTGAAGAGGGGTTGGAAACCGACGGAGAAAACAAAGGAGATAGCGGCCCCAAGTACAAATGCGCAAATCGTGGGGTAGTTTTAGTTTTTTGCATGTGCTATTATTTGCTTAAACTACGCGTTATTTTATGCTTATATCATAATAGTACAGTGGGCTCTTATAATTACACTTTTGCCCTCACTGTTGTCGCTTTCTACACCAATTAATTTGCAAAGCACTTTTCTAATTCTATATTTTTGTTCTAACAAATGGGTTTTTGCTTATGTATGTTTGAATATAATGAAAATGTGTTGAGGGTTTATGTCATAATAAATTAAATTGTGGAAAAATAACAAGTTTTATTACGAAGTATTTTTTTTAAGTACATTATACATTTTAAATAATCTATTTTCTTTTACAAATACTCCGTATAAATTATTAAGTTATCATTTTGGGGCTTTGGGACTATATCCTATGATGTATGTAGCTATTTTTGCTTAATCCTAATTTTATATTTAATTATGGGGATTATTTTGTCCAACAAGCACACATCAAATGAGAATTTGACCACATATAACGGTATAACCACCTTACAACCAATTAGTGATAGACAGAGTAGTTAATCAATCTTTTAAACATTACCGAGTAGACAGTTTAATTTGTACCTCATTGGAAAATATATGTCTCAATAAACTAGAGGAAAAAAAAAAAGAGTTCTGATCTTCTGAAGTTCTGATCTGTAATTGAGATAGGTTAGGACATGAATATAAGACGCATCAATGCATCATACATTCATGTGTTTGAAGTTTGCTCAAACGGATTATTAGTTGTAATTTAGTATGTAAGCCTATTGGGCCTATTTATTGCCCAATCTTAATTCTATACCAGGTGCTTGTCCATCGACTCAAGCCATTACCAATTTCATTTACCATCTAAGATTAACATAAAAAGATAACAAAATCATCCTTCTTCCTTCATTTACAACAAATGATTTATTAGACCTTAGCAATGTTTCATCGGATGAAGAAAACACGGCCTAATAAATTTATTTCAGGAAAATTAAATCGAGCCATCAAATTAAATTAAGTATATGAAAACAAGGTTCAAATTAATAATTCAAATCAGTGTATATGTTTAGATAAGTTAATTCAGAATAAGAAAGAAATAATTGAAGTTTCACTAATGAAAATCAGGTGAATTTAACGCACCATTGTCACGTCGACTCTTGATTTCTTTTGCACAATACATGCATTGTTGTTAATCACCCATAGCCATAAAGGATCTCATTTTCATGCATTAAATGCACACAACAACTTCTGAAGCAATAATACTTATTATCAACCTAACTTTCCATCACTCTTCTCATCCATCCATCTCTCTCTTCTTATCATCCACAACCATAAATTCTAGCATTTACATCTTTCCTCTTTATTCTCCCTTCTTCCAAATTCCTTTTTTTATTCTTACAAATTAAAACTCTTTGTTTCTTTTTAAAAAATGGCAGGAATAGTTTCCAAATTCTCATACCAAAAGCTTAAGCAAGAAGTCATTTTTGAAGAAGATCCTCATCAAAACAAAAGTAAAAAAGATAGAATTTCCGAGATTATTAGAAGATCATCATCATCAATAAGATCAAGAAGCAGTTGGATTAGTAAGCTGAAATTAAGGAGAGAATTCAGGGTTAAATTAGGACGTTGCTTTAGAAGATTTTTCAGAATCAGAAGAAATAAAAAGCTTAAAGTTGCAAGATTAGCATGGGCTAATAAGGTTTACAAAAGATTAAAGGAAGGTCATTCTCATTTTGGTGATCTTTTTGCTGGTAATTACTTGTTTATGCAAGTCACTCCTGGCTCCTTCGTCAAGAATAACAAGACTCATTGCGTGTCATCTCACCAAATTTATAATCTTAGTAATAATAATAAGCTTTCTAAATATCCCCCAAGTTATACTAATAACTATGTTGTATCTTCTTGAATAATTGCATAATTATATGTATGTTCATGTAATATACTGTATTTTTAAGTTTATTACTGTACTACGTACTTCATATAATGTATCTATATACCGAAAATAGTTTGTGCTATGTAACAAATAACTTATAGTTCTAAAGAAAAGTTGGAAGAATTTAAGAGGCAAATGCGTGCAATTAAGATATTAGATATAACAGCAATATCGATCTACGTCGACTTTAATTTGTTTTTCTTATTCTACGTACTAATGTGTTCAAATCTATGCTACTAAAACAAAAGTTGCTACAGTATTAATTTTGATGTTTAATTATGTTAAGCTGTCACTTGTTTGACACATTAAGGTACCTTAAATCCTTAATTAACAATTAAAAGAATATCTTTGTCTCACATCATAATTAATAATATATGGTACGGTACTCTTCTATAGTTCTATGTGCCAAGTGCCATGATTGTTTTAATTAATCTCATATTATCACGTATAAATGTATAATCAATAAGATGAAGTTGTTAATATAAATCCAACTTTAAGAATACAATCGTGTTTCCCCTTGAGCGTACGGTGTACCTATTTATTAGGCATGCTTGAGTGTAGCCGTGTAGGTATGCCGTATGCATAATAAATTTGTAGATTTTTTTTTATTTTTTATTTTTTTAATGGAATAGGAAGAGGTGATTTCATTAAATAATAATAGTCATTCGGCACTAATAATCATCCCTTAAGAGATCTAAATTCTCAATACAAGTATTTAACATCCTAAATAATTTTAGATGTATTTGCATCGTGATGGAGCTCCTAAGTTTGCAAGACGAATCTTCTAAATTTGCACCCTAAACCAACAGACACACAATTCCACAAAATTGCAAGACGAATCTTCCAAATTTGTATCCCTGCACACACGAAAAACAAACAAACAGACGATACTAAAAATCCCATCATTAGGGAATTGACTAAACCTTAAAAGCTAAGGAGGGACTAACTATAATCACCATACTGTTGGTGATCTTTATTGGCTAAAAACATTAAATTGAAGAAGAATTTGAGGCTTACCATCGCTAAAATTGATGGCAGCCCCTAAGTTTTGCTATAGTGGCTAGGTTTGAAGAGAGAGAACGGAGAATTTTTTAGGGTTATAAAATCGCTATATAAATTTGTAGATTTTTGTTGTTCATTATTATTACAAAGTAATTATATATAATCCTTAAATAATAATCTGACTTAATAATGAAATTTAATTTTGGAGACGGTAGCTAGTTGAAAGTTACTAGTACTATTCATAGTTACAAATTATTGAAACGAATTTTGTACAAGTTGGAGAAGTGTGAACATGATTACATGATTAAATCATGTGAATTAAACCCTATTATACGCTTATATAATACCATAGTACGTCCACATACATTACAGAGTGTCATTTTAAGTGAAGCATATATAATCATACACTATAAGAAAACAACTGTTTTTCAACGGACACGTAATTTCGTCGGAAAATTCGAAATTTTCGACAGATTTTTATTCAATTGGATATTTCCGACGAATTCAAATAATCTATCGAAAATTATTCCGTCGAAATATTTGTACTTTCCAAAAGGCTATTTCCGACGGAAAATAATTCCATGAAATTTTAAACTAAAATGTAAGGACTCAGAGAGTCAGAGCTCTCACACATTCGATCTCTTCCTCACTAGGGCAGGCACACAATCCCACCTAACAAATTTAATTAATGTGAAAATATAGCTGGGAAAAATGCTTTGATGCTCTCTTAACTATAACAAATTTGTCTACAAAAGTTTCATTTCACCTTTTCCTATTTTTTTTACTCCGTATTGACTATATTAATTTAATCAACTAAATTCCACTATCTTATTATTAATTATATTTTAAATAAAACAAACTCTGATCTATTATCTTAATTTTTAATTAATAATCATTCCCTGCTATTCTCTAATGTAATTTTATTCACGACCTTCCTCCAGTGTGCAAATTGGCTACAAATAAGACTTTTATTTAGAAAAAAAAAGAGTTTAGCGGACTTAATAAGCAGTTACATAGACTGCCACGCGACCACTCACTTCATAAAACTGATTCATTTATTAATTTATTATCAGCCCAACTCCCACCAGCTGTCTCTCTCCTTATTCTGTAGTCTTCCCTAAAATTCTCACTACCCTATTTCATCAACATTAATGCACCCCTCTCTTCATTTCTCACCACAAAACACATATTTTTCTTACACCTTTTTTAATTTTCACCCTCAAAAATAAAAATGTCATGCAAAATTTCCAGATTTTCATACCAAAAGCTAAGAAAAGAAGTTATTCTTGAAGAAGAAGATGCTGAAAACAAAAAACAAGTCATTAAAACTTCATCATTTCCAAGAATTACCAAGTGGTTTGGTAATAAGTTGAGAAAGAGAAAGCTGAAGTTTAAGTTTTCAGGGTTTAGAAGATTTTTCAAGGTAAAATCAAGGATTAAAGTGGCAAGATTTAGATTATCATGGGTTAATAAGGTTTTGAAGAGATTAAAGGAAAGCCAATCACATTTTGGTGATCTTTTTGCTGGTAATTACTTGGTTATGCAAGTTACTCCTACTGATTTGAACAAGAACAAAAACAAAAACACTATTATTGTGGGTAATCCTTACGGTCCTAATAATAAGATTACTAGTTTTGCACATTTTACTTATATGTACTGAACATGTTTATTTAGTGAAAGTCTAGCGATTAAGGGATGGTAGATTTATGACTAATAATTAAGGGATTATATATGTTTTAAAGGTATTTTGGTAATTTTAAGGGTATTTTTAAGGATGCTCTAGATGTACCCTAAAAAATAAGGGTAGTTTGGTTATTTAATTTGGTCCTTTGTATTTGGCATGCACTTGTACTTCCAATATAAAGATAGAGGTTTACAACAAGATTATCCGAAGAAGCTATGTTTGAATTAACATAATTTGATAAAGCTACTCACTTTTAATTTAATGGATGTGCATCTGAAAAAAGTATGTAACTTGTCTTTGCTAAGGTTTTTTAGGCAAAGACCTAGAATTGTTTAGTTGTAAAAGTGTTTATTTTATTTAATGGCACACTTATTTATTTCGCCTGGTTTTATTATGCATTTTAAGTTTTTCAACATTTGTAATGTATGTAGACATGTAGTATCTGATTCAACCTTTTCTAAAATAAAAAATATTAAATTGAGGGGTGTTGTATATCCATTTCTAGCAATTAGAAAAAAGCCAAAAAGCCAAAAAAAAAAATATTCGTATTGTACGTAATAATTTTGTGTGTGTGAGTCAAAGTTCGTTTTAAGTCATGGGTGTATGTACTTAACATACATGTGCGGATGTGCCCAAGTAGACTTTCTTTTATCATTGCATGTCTGTTCAAATGAATGTATATACGGAGTATGAAACTATGATACAAATTACATAACTATTATAGACTTGTAGTTATGTATATTTGGGTAGTTTAATAATATAACGCGAAATGGAGTACGAAATCAATAATATAATAGTAAAATATATACCAGAAATGACACGTGTCACTTTCTGGTGCTGTATTTTCCTTCCAAAACTCCCCTCCCCTTTTAGCAAAAAAACTTTTATCTTTACATAATAAAAATGTTTTATTTTTGGAATATTTGTATAATACAACTATAATAAAAATTATTCCAAATCTTATATATTATCTTTACATAAAATTTATTTCTTTTTATTTTTTGTTCTTAATTTTTCCATACACATTTATCAAAAATATTATTCCAACTTTTTTTTTTTAATTATAGAAAAAGTAAGCCACTGGTTTAGGTACCAAATACTATCATTACCACCTAGACACCTCTTACACGGAGTATTATTGAATTTTTCTCAAAAAGTCGTAATAAAATTGATTTATATAATTGATATTAAAGAAAATACTTTAGAATATCACTTTAATTTTTTTTTCCAAATACCTCTAATATGTTGTTTCTTAGACTAATGGAGTATTAGATATGACTATAAAATTAAAGTTGTGTTCGACAACTATATCATAGGTCTATATCTAGGAAAATGTGAAATATCAATCAATTTTTTTGTTACATTAATATCTTAGTAAATACAAAAAAAAAATATTATCGTATGCTAAATTATAAACACGTATCCTTTTTTTTCGATAAATAGTTAACATTTACAAATAAACTTTTAAGCTAATAAACAAATAATGATCAAACTAAAATTATTGGATACCAAACACATTTTTATATAATAACAAAGAGCGACAATATCATGTAGAGCATCAATTCATAAAATGAAAATGTACTATTAATAATATAGGTTAGTGATGCCTAATTGTGGATTATAATTGCCTTTAATGATTCGAGTAGTATTTATTTCCATTCAAATTATTTTATTGGATATAAAGGTAATATTTTATTTGTAATTTATATATTTACATGTATGTTGTGCTAATAGTTTTACTGTAAATTTTATTCTATTGTTTGATTAATATTTTCATGTTTATTAAAAAGCATTTATAAATAAGTCTTTAGTCACATAGTCACTAGATTGTATAGTTTTATTGAGAAATAATATACACCATTAGTGTAATATAATGTATAGTTGTATACTACTTTTAAATATTTTCAACACAACTATAATCAACGATAATTTTTTTTTTTTTCTCAATTGTAGTTTTAATAATTTTTGCCTTATTCTTTTATTTTTCTATATACATGGTATTTGTTTATTTCATATAAGTTGCCTCATTTTTATATGTATTATGTCACAATTAATTATGGAAAAGATTATTATTATCGTGCATCGCACGAATACTAATCTATTACTTTGTATATATAGAAGTTGAATCTAGACAAACAAAAACAAATCATTTAGATGACACTCATGCCAGCCACGAGGCCCATAATGTTGTGACGATGAGGTCAATCTATATCAATATCAATAAATTAAATATCAATCATATCTCCAAAATTTTGGAAGCGATGGATTTTTCTAGTAGAATAAGACGACGACTCGACGACTATTGAGAAGGTGAATAGTAGCTATTACGTATGTGCGAAGCAACAAGCTAGCTACTTCGTAATTGGAATTTGGAAAAGGTTTAAGTTCGCTTGTTAGTTATTACAGGGTTCAAAATCGATTAACAAAAAAACTCGATTCATAAGGCAGAAGCATTGCCATTGGCCCATTGAATATTATCTTAGCATACGTTCTCTCATAGGACTCAATGAATTGAATGTAATCTTAACAAATAAGGATATTAAGGAATGGTAGTTTTTATTATCATTATCTTTTGTTAAAAAACTTATACTATGTCACTCCTAGTTTTATTTTGCTCCTTGTTTTAGTCCCAACTTGCAAGTGCTTGTTACCTAATTATAAATTTTCCCTCAAAAAAAAAAAGGTATAAATTTTGTCAATTGAAGCAATGTTGCCACTATGTTTGGGCTTTGGCCGACTTGAAATATGTCCACTATTGAAGTCTCTTATTCAATTCCAGAGGATTGGGCCCTTGATCTCTAGATCTACACGAATGCATGTGAGTACTTTTACTACAATACAAAAACACATACTAAGTACATAGTCATGTGAATAAGATTTTAGGGTGACATCAAGTTATTATTGTAGTTCAAAATTTTGATGTAATTATGCACATCAACTAAAATTGATATGGGGTCGGTATTATTATACGAAATAGAAAGAATTGTTGATGTTTAAAATTAATTGTTTAAAGTTTTGAGAAGTCGCATTGGTGTAGCTGTGCAGTGGTATTTAAAACTTACAATTACTACATTCAACTAATTTTACAACATTTAACTTTTGTGGCTCTTTCTACACCAAAAATAAGGAAGAAGTTTCCAAAACTTATTAAGGTTGCCTTTTAAGTACTTTTTAAATTAGCATATAACCATGGCTACTACTTAAATAACAATGATTATTTTAGGCCTTATATAAAGATAAGGGTAAATTTCAAATAGTGAGCTAAGTGAGAATCGAACCCTATCTCTCAAGGATCCCCTACACTTAGTAAGTGTATCCAACTTGTGAAAACTCCTTCCTCACCAGTGTCACCACATACCAATAGGATACCACTAACTTTTCCACTAAGAAAAAAGAGACTTTATCAACATGTAAAGTACGTATCATATGATAGCAAATGCAAGATCCAAATATATGTAAGATCTATCAACAGTCGACATGCATGGATTTGATATTAAAGAGTAAAGTGACGAATTCCACAATCGCAAAAGATTTTCAAGTCCAATGCAAACAAATCAACGTTGGATGATAAATGAACTAGTTGTTTATAGGATGAAAAGGATTGATACCGGAATCCATGAAACTTTCAAGTATTATTCCTACCACTTGCCGTGGAATCAACAGAATTATTCCTTTGGATAAAGCATTATCCAAACTATAATACCAATTAGTACGTACTATTAAATAATATACTCTTAATTCTTTAACTTTGATGAATATCAAATGTATATGTTGCAAGGAAGATCTTTTGGTTCTACCTTTTAATATCACAAAGGGAGTAGATCCTTTGCCGAATACAAAGGACTTCTTTATATTTGGTAGGACCATTAGTCGATAATATATTTAGGTAAATCAAGTTATGTTAAATTCATGGATTTTTGAGGAAAAGTATATATATAGCCATATAATCTCTGACACATTTAGTATTCCATCTCGCTATAAAATGTATGTTAATTTATTTTCCTAAATAATCTGATAAAGTATATAAATTAATCCTGGGCTTCAATCATAAGTCTAAATTTTTGGTTGAGATGATCTTTTAACATGATATCAAGAGCCAGCGTGACACATAACACGTGACACATAGATCACGATTGCACAAAGGCTCTCATATGTAGGGGTGAGCACGGATCGGATATCCGTATCCGAAAATTTGGATATCTGATATCCGATCCGAAAGGTTCGGATATCTGATATCCGGATATCCGAAATTTTTGGATCGGATATTGTGGATATCCTGGTATCCGATTCATTTTATTAATAATTTAATATTAATCATTTTATACTAAATTAAGCTCCTAAAGGCAATTTTTTTTTTTAAAAGGCAAATGCATACGTATATTTTAGTTATTTTGTTGTTTTAGTCTTTAGAGGAAAATTACAACCTGAACAAATTGAATAATTAAATAACCTGAATAAGTAAGTAATCAAATAACCCGAACAAACCAAAGTGACTGATTGAATAACCCGTGAACAAACTCACATGATTAAAAAAAACTTGAAGTCTAACTAATTATAACATATTACAATACAAAGAAATTTTGGAGAACTTGCATACTAATTGACACATTACAAAACAAAGAAATGTTCAAAGTCCGTAAATCCCAGAGTTGGATTGCTAATTCACTAGTTAATGTAACAGAATTCACATCATGAGGATCCCATGCTCCACCAGTGGCAGACTAGCAGTTAGGTAATGAAGCACACCAACTGATTTTCTTGTGACTGTACTTAGAAAACACAGGAACATTCAAATAAAGAATTAGACAATCAGATCTAATACTTTTTAGATTTCAAGAATTATACACATGAAGTTAAACAGATAATCAGCTATTTGAAGTTAAGAAACTTAATCAACCAACTTCACTGAAATTAACTGGAGAAATTTTCTGATTTAAACATGTTTATCACTCAAAAATGAATTCAGACAAATTCAGCTTATGCAAGAAACAAAGATCTGCCTAGAAATTTTTTCAAACTACTACTCAACTTCTCCAAACAAAATTTGAATCAGGAAAATATACAACTGAAAATCAGAAAACAGTCACATTACATCAAGTCCTCAACAACATTCATAGGTCAGAGTTATTAGTCGAAAAAAAAAATGCAGAAACTACAACATTAAAAAAAAAATTACAAACCAATAAAATAGTATTACCTTTAATTCTAAAAATAATCATCGACAGAGAGGATCAACAAGAGAAGACAACTCTACATTAAAAAAATAGTAAGTTATACAATAAATACATACAAATAATTGCAGAAAATAAAATAGAAAAAACAAGAAACATTTTGTAACATATCAAAGTTTTACCCTCTTCAATTTGTTGAATATTATCAATACTTTCTTCAATCACAAGTGGACCACGTGTACTACGCATCCAATCTTGTGCACATATCAAAGCTTCAACCATATGTGAAGAAAGAGAACTACGAAACACATCAAGTACTCTCCCACCGGTGCTAAACGCAGATTCAGATGCAACCGTTGGATAATACATCCCTAGCCATAAGACCAACAATAGGATATCTCTCCACCCTTTTTTTCCACCATCCCAAGCATCAAAATTCTTACTCGTGATACGCTCTCTATCATCCATTAAGTACTTGTCCTAATCACTTTTTTGTATCAAAAACCGTTTGTCCACCAATATCCCTTTCAAACTCATAATCCGCCACATCATGCCAATCATTACAAGTTTCCAAGTCTCTTGAACTCAAATCAATATTTTCATAAACATTTGGCACATTTTGACTTTGTAAAGAAGCATAATGTTCATACAACAAATTCAAAGTATTCATGACCATATCATGCAATTTTGCAGCCTTCATAGAGTCATATTGATCATTAATAGCCCACTTCACATAATGCATTTTTCGTCTAGGATCAAGCACAACAGCAACATATAACATCAAGTTAATGTTATCCACATTTTCCCAATATTTTTCATGCTTTTTCTTCATCCCATAGGCCATTAACATTTCACCACTATCAACACTTTTACACTTTTTTTTAATCATCTTCCAAATTGTCACAAGTTCAAGCAAATACACATTAGTAGTAGCATACAAAGATCCAGAAAGTCTCAAAGTGGCATCATAAAATATCTTAAGAAAGGGAAGCAAAGAAGTAACACGATCCCAATCGTTATCGGTAGGAACACCAGAAAGTTTTGTTAGTTCAGCAAGAAATTTACCACCATCAGAATTTTCCAACAAATCAAAAGCTTTTCGATAAACCATAGCATATCCTAACATCAAATAAGTGGAGTTCCACCTAGTTTCAACATCCAAACAAAGTTGACGTTTTGATTCAATTTGTTCTTGATTAACACAATTTCAAAACTTTTGCAATAATCTAGCAGGGGAAGATCTAACAAATCTCACAGCATTACGTATTCTTTTTATTGATTCATCACATTCTTTCAAACCTTCCCTCACTGTTAAATTAAGAAGGTGGGCTGCACATCGCATATGCACAAATTTACCATCTAAAATAGTCCCATCTTTCCATCTTTCCAACCTCCTCCTCAAATATTGAACCCCTACATCATTTGAACTTGCATTGTCTACGGTAATGGTCATTACCTTCGTGATACCCCACTCAGGCAAACACTTTTCAACCAATTTACCAATAGCCTCACCTGAATGGCCACTAATTGGACAAAAATTTTAAATTTTTTTGTGCAAGTTCCAATTATGATCAATAAAATGGGCTGTTAAACACATGTAAGACAAAATTTGACAAGAGGTCCATGTATCGGTAATGAGACAAATATGAGAAGAACACTTGCTAAAGTAGCTTTTCATATTTTTTTTTCATCACGATAACAATCTCTAGCAACTGTGAAACGAGAGGGAATAATGAAATTTGGTTGAACAACAGACATAAAATGGCGAAAACCCTCACGCTCAGAAAACCTAAATGGCAATTCATCCATTATTATCATTTTAGCAAAAGCTTTTCGACCATCCTCCTGCCTAAACTTCCAAAATTCTAATTTCCCTTTCTTTTCACATTTTTTATTATCACCAATACTATCTACTAAAGTTTGTTGACTTTTATCACTAAAAAAAGCAAGAAGCCTTTGTGATTGCTCAATATTAGGGGGGATAATCCTTACACTTTGAAAGATGAATTTTCATAACACTTGTACCACTTTTAGAGTCACCACAAACATCAACATGACAATACAAACATTTTGATATTTTATCCTCACCTTTTGTTATCAACTCAATGATCCCAAAGCCAAGACCTTTTTTTCTTACCTTAATTTTCAGCTTCTACATCATCACTAGTCCCAGTTGAAGGTCTTTTTGCTGAAACGGGTGGTGGTGGATTTTGATCTCCAACAGGCTCGGTAGCAGCAACACTTAAAGCCAAGGGATCCTCACTTGACGAGTTAGTTGGGACAGCACTTTTGGCAGTAATATCGTGATCATCCATTATCTAAACATAACATTAACATTTGTATAAATAAAAAATTTGTCAAATATAAACCAAAATGACTGCAATTCCACTCTAAGACTGCCAAAATGTCTAAACAACCATGTAAAGCTATAAGTAGGAGCAGAATAAATTAAAAGAACGACAGAAACCACAAACTGCCAGAAGACTCCCCAGTCTCCACTCTCCACTCTCCAGACATACACTCTAAAAGTCTAAATTACTAACACATCATAGACCATAGTAGCAAGATCTCAAACTACAATCAAGCTAAAATCTAATTAAAAACCTAATTTACACAAAATACGATAAATTTCACAAATGAATTTCAAAATACAAAGAAATTAAACAAGAAACTAAACAGAAAATTAAACAAAACAAATTAACAAAACCCACATCAACATACAACAAAAAAAAAATAAACAGAAAATTTAACAAGAAACTAAATAGAAAATAAACAAGAAATAAACAAAACCCACACTAAGTCACTAACATGTATAAAAAATATACAGAAAATTAAACAAGAAATTAAACAAAAAAATAAACAAAACTCACATCAACATAAAACAAAAAACTCACCAAAAATAAAAAACAGAGGACCTTCAAGGGCGGAGAGCACGAGGTTCAATGAAGCTTCAAGCCTTCAACGACGAATTTAAAAAAAATAAAACCCTAGAAATTCAGAAATTTTTAAAGTCTTTAATTTGCACTAGATTTGGGAGTGTGATACTGAGATCTGAGAGGAGACTTTGAGAATTGAGAGGAGAGAGGCAGAGAGACTGAGAGAGGAGAGAGAGAGAGAGACTGCGTGAGAGGGGTGAGCAACTTTCAAATTGAGTGTTTAGGGAATCAGGGTTCACTGGTTAAGTAAGTTTTCCACTTTTTCCAACCTTTTTTTTGTTTTTTAAGGCTGAGAATTAGAGAATATTTGAGAAGTAAAAAAAGGAAAAACAAGTGATTTTTGGATATCGAATCGGATATCCGATCCGAACTTCTTGCGGTCCGATATTCGATATCCAAAAAATGTTTGGATATCGAATATCCGAATCCAAAATTTGGATATCCGATACCCATCAAAATTCGGATCGGATATCCATAATTTTCAGATCGGATGCGAATCGGATCATCGAATTTTCGGATCTTCAAATAGTTCTGCTCAGCCTTAGTCATACGAAGGAACGCGATAAATTATATAAACTTTATATAGTAATGTGAGTTTGGACTAATATATACAACCCTAACCCTTACCCATACTATAACTTTATTACACATTATACTCATTGACATTAAATCACTGTTGCAATGGTCATTATTTCATTACTTTTCCCATAACAAAAAAACAAAAACAAATTGCACCAAAAAAAAAAAATAAACCGAAAACAAAAAAACTTGTTCCATTAATCACAACCGTTAATCGTTAAAAACAAAACGAGGCACAACCGTCCAATTGATAACGCGTCCGAAAACCATCACCATAAACCCTCAGATCACGCCACGTGTCAACAAATCTCATCATTAACCATGGTTAACCCACTTAGAGTTAAACTAACCCAAATTCACTCTCATTTGATTTACCCAATTTAACCCTAGCCTAGTCTAAGCTATTTATGCCTCTTCCCTCTCCTCACAATCATTTCTTCATTTCCTCTCTCTCCTCCATTTGCTCTATTTTTCCTCTCGTTTTTCCTTCGATATTCTTGATTATTCGACGTTTAAGCCCTAATTTCTTCGCAATTGTGCTAGGGTTTTTCCCTGCATTGTTATGATAGTTGTAACATTTTCCAGAAATCGATTCAATTTAGCTTACCTTTGTCGTTAATGGCGGAAGATCCTCGCCGTTTTTCGATCGGTTACGCTTTGGCGCCGAAGAAGCAGCAGAGTTTCATACGAGAATCGTTAATCAACCTCGCTCGTGACCGTTTGATTGATTTGATCAAAATCGATACTGGAGTACCGTTGATCGATCAAGGACCGTTCGATTGCATCCTTCATAAGTTGTACGGGGACGATTGGAAGAAGCAGCTCGTCGATTACAAGGCGAAAAACCCTAATGTCGTGATTTTAGATGCACCGGAATCAATTGAACGACTTCATAACCGGATTTCGATGTTGCAGGTTGTTTCTGAGTTGAAATTCGTGCGAAATGACCGCGATACGTTTGGAATTCCGAAACAAATCGTGATTTATGACGTCGAAACGCTTCGTGATCATCGGTCTTGGGAAGGATTGAAGTTTCCGGTGATTGCGAAACCCTTGGTTGCAGATGGAAGCGCAAAATCGCATAAAATGTCGTTAGTTTACAATCATGGAGGATTGAGCAATTTGAAACCTCCGATTGTTTTGCAGGAGTTTATTAATCATGGAGGAGTGATATTCAAGGTGTATGTGGTAGGTGAATACGTGAAATGTGTGAAGAGGAAGTCATTGCCAGACGTTTCGGAGGAGAAATTGGAGAGTTTAGGTGGTTTGGTAACGTTTTCGCAGGTTTCGAATTTGGCAAGCAACGAGATGACGGATGAGAAGTACTACAAGATGATGCACTTGGATGATTGCGAAATGCCGCCTCAGGAGTTCATCACTGACATTGCGAGAGGATTGAGGGAGGTTATGAAGCTGAATCTCTTTAATTTCGATGTGATTAGGGATACGAGGCTTGGAAATCGGTATCTCGTGATCGACATTAACTATTTCCCAGGGTATGCGAAGATGCCGGCGTATGAGAGTGTGATGACAGATTTCTTCTGGAATGTTGTGGCGAGAAGAGAAGTGATGGAGAATGAGGAAAGTGAAGAAAAAAGTAAATTGGTGGATAACATTGGTTGCTGATGATGAAATGCAGGATAAATTTGTTACAGTAGGTGACAGTTTCTTCTTCTTCTTCTTTCCCCTGCCTCCAAAAAAGTACAAGAAAGTGGAGGTTTTAACAATTTCATTGGATAGGGTGATAGTATAGACTGGCGAACAATTAGGCTTTCTTTATTTTTTTTCAATGAATTTTTTGTTGTAGTTGCTGATGATGTTCTTTTTTCCTTTTCTTTTTATACCTGACTAGTGTTTCTTTTGTTTGTGGAGACATTATTAGTTGGGTGTTGGATATCAAATGATGTATATTCCATCTTGGCTTCGGAATTGAGGTTTTATCTGAAATACTCTTGAAATGGGTTGTAGACGAAAAAGGGAGGCTGCTTTGATGTTTTTAGGAAGTGTTTAGTTTGTTCTTTCTTGACAAGTTTTGTAATCTTCTTTCCTAAGGAAATGTTCAAACATGTGCCTATTTTGGGCACTTTAGATCAATGAATTTATCCATTTGGTTTATCCAATTCTTCGCGCCTTTTTCCTACTTGTTTTGCAATGATAGTGTTGCTTTTAGTTGGTTTTAACAAGTATTGCTGCATGGAATTTATTGGCAAATGAATCACGGTTCTGGATACATGAATGGAACTAGCATTTAGGTTGGTTGTCTGAAGCAAATACTCTGTATTAGGTTTTAACATGTCTTTTATTCAGAATCTTGTTAGCTTGCACTTAGCAGCTTATTGATGTGTTTACTTACACTGATTAGAATTGCTATTACTGACATATGCAAAAGTGTTTAATTTTGGTCTGTTGAATCCAGTTTGAATCTATAAGGAGGTTGGGTATCATCCAGTTTATACAGATAACTGGCTCCTTGGCTATTAGATGCAGAGTGAACTATTGGCCTAGTTTCCTGTACTGGTTTGAAGCTTTATAAGTTTGCCCAAGTGTTTTTTCTTCAGATATTAAATTGAATACTTATGTTGAAAATGTACCATGTCTAAGATAATGCACTGCAGCTTTATAGTTTTTGTGGATGCTTAACTTCAAACAATCTTAAACTGTTGGTGCATTTTTCATCCTGAAGGTAGTGTATGCTGATAAAGATATTTTTTTATGACACTTTGCAGTTTGCATCATGTATCAAGCTTTGGTTAAACTCTGTGTGGTATTCCTAAAGTGGAAAGGCAGGGGAGTTTTTATTTATTTTGTTTTATGAAAATTTGGCTCACTTGGTCAATTGTGGATGTGATGAACCAGTGGTTAGTTATGTCTGCTATGTAAATTAGTTGTTTTACCCGATTCTTCTCGATGAATTTCAATGCGCTGCATGGACTAAATCTTTTCAGATGTCTATTTCATATGGCCTTAAAGAATGAACCCCATCTCTGTTACATTTTATTGTTCCAACTTCCTACCATGAAAGTAATTTTTGCTAGGAACCTTGAATAGTGAGCAATTGGTATGATGTGGAGATTGCTAGGTAAGTTTTACATTCCTTTATGACCCAAAGCTTCTGCTACTTTAATGCTCAGTATGATTCTCAATATTGTCATTGTGGTTTCTGTTGACCAGAAAATGCTCTTAACTGGCTTCAATTGACATTTTGAAATGTTGGATGAATTTTGAGAGGTGGAAATCTTTATAATGTCTTGTGCTGAATTTGATGATTTGTGATAGTTTGATGTCAGACCTTTTAACAAGTTTCATGATTAAATTGCAGTGTCATGTATCGTTAGTGTTTTAATGGCACTTCATTGGTAATTAGTTTTTTTTTTTTGTTTTTTTTTGTTTTTTTTTGTGCGTGTGTGTGCATGCACGCGCACGCCGTTGTGGTCAGTGCAAGTGTGAAGTGAAGAAGCAGGTTATGGAGTAGTAATTATAAGGTTTTCGGGTGATTATATGTGTTTTTTTTTTAGAAGTATGACAATCTATGGTTGTTAGCCAGCCTTAGATCTTTGATACAGCTTAACTGGAAGTATATTATCTATTTGGAACAGCGAATAATGTTTATATGTGTGCTAGGGTCACAGATTGTGATTATGATATCATTCTGATCAGCAGCTTGCATTTTTTGTATGTACTTATGAAAAATGATTTCTTTCTGACCCAACAGGTATATTGTGAATCGTTTAATTTCTAAGATCCTTACTGTGGATGATTTGAATTAATTCTGTTTTGGAATGTTTTGGTGTTTGTTTCTCTTCTCAACTTTTTTTGGAAGATCCAAGTTTTGAGGCTAGGATGAGAGTCACTATTAATAAAAGCAACTAGACATCTTAGTCCTCATTTCCAAGAGTATCTTTCCGAATTTTGGGATTCCTTATTGTTGTTTAATTAATTTAAACACTATTATCATTCATGAAGTATAATGCTAAGAGTGGCTAAGGACATATATAGTGTGGTAGAATGTTGACTGACAGACTTCTTGATGAAAATAGGCATCTATGATTTCCATGTGAGGCCCTCAATGTACAAGGTGAAACCTGTCAAGTAGGTTTTAACTGTTTTTTGCTGGTAGGTTCTTTAATATCAGAATTCCACTCAGCTCTGGACTCTGGTGATACGTATAAAGGTATTCTGATCGCTAATATCCTCATATGGTATTTGGAATATAAGACAGTACTGTACAATTTTTCTGATTATGAATTGCCATGATGGCTAAACATCTTGGTAGGGTGGTTTATTCTCTCATTCTGATTTTTTAAAGCAATATTTTGGGATAAGTCTTTTCTTAATCTTTTTCATTATGATCGTTGTTTAGGTGGTTTCTGCAATGGTTTGGGAAAGGTTGGGAGGAGGGGGGGGGTGATGTTTGGGTGGTAAAAGGATTAGCAGTGATTCTGATATGACCTAGTTAAGTTAGGACTTCTTTTGCATTCAGGAGGGGTTTAATTTTTCTTTTTTTAAATGTTGTTTTTTAGCTATTAGTGTTGATTTGTCGTGTATCTTATGGCATCTCTGTTTAAACTTTTCTGATTTTATATGGGATGGATTTTTTTTCCCCTCGTTTGTAAATACTGGCCCCTTTGTTTCCAGTGGAAGTTAATGTACGTAATTGGTTGGATGTGTGGAGTGCTTTTGATGAAGCCAGCATAAAAAGTGCATGGAAAGCACACGAGAGACATTCTATTTTATCAGGTTTGTTTTGTTTTTAATCTTATTAGGACTTCTTTGTGACATGGGATCATTTGACAGATTGATAGCAATCATATTTTAGGTCGTCAAACTGATGAAATTTAATTAGGGGTGAAAAAGTATGCTGATAGGCTATGTTATTGAGTTGCATCTCACATATTCTGTGGCTTTTTTTGCCAAATAAGGTTGTGGACTTTTGATGGAAACATATGGTAGATTGCTTTGTAACTTGGAGGAATGGCTTTTTTAGCTATTGAGTTTGCTATAGTTGAATAGCTATAGTTTGCTATAGTTTGCTATAGTTGAATTTTCGGTTGTTTCTTTTGGTACCAGAGTCCTTCATGATTTGCTGTTCTGTGCATGAGTTGAATAATGATACTCTGACCAGAGCTAGACTTAATTAGATCAACTGAGTACAAGACACAATGAGATTTTTAAATTCTTGATGATTTATCGATTTTGCCAGAGTGATATTTGTGACTACTCGGGATGATTTCAGGGCATATGAGATGACATTCTTAATCATGGCATGCGTGTTATTGCTAATTAGAAAACATGCAGAAGGGTTTGTTTTTGTGGTGTTGATGGATTTTGCCTTATTTTGTAGATTCAGAAATTGGTTTCCCAATTCTTCTACCTAAGTTGTAGATAATGGATATTGGTTCGATTCTGTTTCATTCTACTAGAATATCAAATTATCAATTAATGGATATGGTAGGGAGCTGCACTCATTTGGGTTAGTGTAATTGGAAGTACATGCTGAGATTCTAATTAGAGTGATGAATTTTTTGTTGGAGTTACGTCCATTTGTGGATTTGGTGGGCAGCTGCTTAGCTGTTTTGGCAGTTCTCACGGGGAAAGAATTATGTTGTTGGAGGCTACCTTTGTAACTATGCTTTTGGTGGCGGTATAGCATTCAAGCCTTTGAAGGTGTTTCTTCCTATCAAGAAAATTATGTTGATTCTTACTTTTTTTTGTCCTGCCATCTCCATCTAGGCACCTAGCTAGTCCCTTCTACGATTACACGATTTGAATTGCTAGAGGTGCTTTAAATCATATTTTATGCGTTTATTTATTTCATCCCTGGTGTTAAGGTGTCAAAAGATTGCTTTAATGGGTCCTCAGCACTATATGTCATTTATCCATTGTTTGATCTGGTGTGCCTTCTGAAGAAACACCCCCCCCCTCCCCTGTGCGGATGGGGGGTGTCAGCATATGACGGCTTGTTGCCTGCTGTATGGTGTGTAAAGAAGTGAAGTTTTATTAGTTGAAACTTGGATGTCCCTTTTCTCAGTAATTCTTGTCTTTTTATGATAGAGTTACTGAATTGCGCTCTTTGAAAGTTATGCTGTGCTGCTGGGCCATGGTGGCTACTGAGAGTCTTGAGAGTTCCGATAGATTTACTAGAGACCGCATTAGGATGTCTTCAGCTTTGTCAGATTTGTTGATATTCTCAGAATCTGAGGTATGTTAATTTTGTTGTTATCTTCATCTTTTTAGCAATTTTATGTATTGTTTTGCTGAGTTATTTTGTTATTCATGTGTAATTTCAGTTTCATACAGAGTTTGAGAAGTGCCTAAAGTTGTGTTAGTTTACACTTCACAGGGTTTAAAAAGAAACTAGTCTAAACCGAATTTTGTTTCTTATAAATCAGGTTTAAAGAAGCCTGTAAAATAAATTTTGGGCCAATACACATGCGAACATACATTTTGGCACACTCCTTGTTTAAAGAAGTTGGAATTCTGTATATAACCCCACTGTTTCCTCAGATTCCTCAGATTACGATCTCTCATACCCTGGTGATCTTGACTCTTATATACTTCGTACGTTTTATTTCAAGTACTTATATCGGATCCTCCATATTTTAAAATTTGAAATGGATACTCGCACTTCATGTTTGTACTTAGCATACATATTTAATTTAATATACATTTGTGTATCTCTTAAATTTCACTACTAACTTTCTTTCAAAAAAAATAAAAATAAAAATAAAATTGCACTACTAACTATATTACTAAACCAAAATTATAAACATGAATTGATGGATTAAAAGATTGTTGTAGTAATGGAAGTACAGAGTATAGACATCTCAAATCAATAAAAACAAAGGTGCTTTTTTTGTGTGGCTAGCCACACTATGTGGCCGGGTTACTTATTTAAGGGTTACTCAGTCGGTTAATGGTTGCTAATTCTGTGGTTACTCAGTTGGTTTGCGTGTTTTCTGTGTAAGAGTAACCCCTGACCGACCGAGTAACTCCTGAATAAGTAACCCAGATCACACGGTTGGTCAGCCACATATGAAAATTTGTGTAAAACTAGAACCACGTATATTGCATTTGTTTCCAAATACATGTAACATTATCATTTCATGTTTTTATGATATATAACTTCGATTATTAAAATATTTTATTTTCTATTACCGGTTCTATTAAAATTTAATAATAAAAGATTTATTAATACTAACTAAATAACATTTTGTTAGTGTAAAAAGTTAAAATGATGCTTATGTTGTGAAACGGACTATATTATATGAATATTATTTCTTCACGCGAGGTGTAATACTCGCCAGAGTAGCTGGTGTATGTTAGTTGCTTAAATTTGTAATTATTTTAAATTCAACATAATTTGACCTAGTATAACAAGCTAAAAAGCATTGGCAAGGCTGTAAAAACCTTACAATCGGGGGCTTAGCAAGATGGCATTATCATAGGTAAGGAAGATTGAGAAAAAAAAAAAAAACAAGTAAGCTACTTGTAAATAAAGGATGAAACTTGAAGCACAAGCGGATTAGTTACCGTTATTGTGTGTTTCAATTAATTCCTAGCTTTCTTTACAAGTTCTCTAACAAACATTATTACTTGTCCTCTTCTATCTTAATCTTCATTTACACGTTATTAATTAATTCCTAGCCTTGAGTGAACCATGTCATTTATTTATATTCCCCCATCTTGTGATTTATAAGCCTTATAAGGGGGTTGTGGAGGGATTTATGTGGCAGAGCAAGGAGCTATTCTTTCTGATCGATCTTCCTACCAAACGACTCCTAGTTGTAATTTCTGTTTCATATTCCCTTCCTTCAAAGGAAAATTAAATTCGAACAACTTTAATTAGAGTTGGGTAGAAGGAATTGAACTTTTAAGTTAATGTTCAGAATATAAAGTTCTTACAAATGAGCTTGATTATAAAATGGTCCTATTTACTAATGTTCCTCTTTAATTACTTCCTAATTCGGGCAATTTTAGTACGGAGTATTCTTTAGTATATGAGTTGTGCCACTAACGAACCATCAGTGCTTTGCTTTCCCTTCAAATTATGATCTCTTTTCAGTTGTCTTTGATAATTAAACTTGGAAAATTATGTGCATGATTGGAGCTTCAAAATTGGAACAAATTTCGGTTTTAGACTAATCTTTAATCAAGGATACATTGATTTTTTTGACAAAAAATTATGATCGTGGATTGTTTTATTTGTCTATTCTTTTAATAAAAAATTGTTGTTGTTACCAATTTACTGTGAAGCTTCATAAATCGTTTTCATTGTCAATTCCTTATTGGCCTATTTTTCCACTAACTGCCTAAGTAAAACATTTTCGCAAATTTTTATATGTGGCTAGCCACACCGTGTGGCTAGTATTATTTATTTAAGGGTTACTCGGTCGGTTAGGGGTTATCCAGTTAGAGATTACTTATTCAAGGTTTACTCGGTCGGTCAGGGGTTACTCTCACACAGAAAACGTGTTAACCGACTGAATAACCTCAGAATAAGTAACCCTTGAGCGACTGAGTAACCCCGACGAAAAAGCGCTAACTGACTGAGTAACCCTGGAATAAGTAACCTTTGATCGACTGAGTAATCCCTGAATAAGTAACCCCAGACACATAGAAAAAGCACCGAAACATTTTAACTAGGCTAATTAGTTATCTAGAAGGGAAAAAATGTTAATTAATTAAGTTAATTGGATGAATTTTTGACTTAAAATGATATTGCTTAAGCCGAAGGTTGTGCTTTTCAACTTGCTTGACTAAGATGGATTATAGATTATGACTAGTTAGTAACGAAACGTTTAATTTAACACAATAATTAAGTGTAATATTTTGTGGAATGTGTTGGGATTATAGGTCATTAATTCTCCGACTATCCTTATCTAATGTTTGTACTTGTGTTTTTCAACTACATGAGTCGCCACTAATTAATCTTTCTCATACATAAAATATGCATTTTTTGGTCGAGGTCAATTTCAATTGCTTGTATTATAAGGATATCATCTTACCTAATTTGTAACAACGCAACCAACGACAAGACCTTAAGTGACAAATAACTGTAGAAAATTCATCCACCTCGAATTATACTACTTCTACTAAACATCATCAAATGCTCTACTATTTCCTTCTTTCGTGAGCAAGTTTTGTCTTTGACATGTTTATTGTAAGATCGGGGTGACTTTCTACTTTGTATAGAGTTAATAAAAACTAGACTTCAAACTCTTAAATAAGACGGGTGTATAATATATACGTAGTATTACACTGAAGTGGATATAAAGTTATCCTAAAAATGAATAAAAATCACCACGATTTAAATTAAATGACACTTAGTTTTTACTGATAAAGTTGCTCCCTTATAAACAAGCTTTAATTTACGGTTTCACAGAAGAGAGGTACAACCGCTGGACATTATTGATAGGTTTCAACCATACAAAACCGGCTGTCTGGGCTGTCGTCACTGCCAGGAGGACGGAGGCTAGGAAATATTGTTTGGGATTATACATTCAAACTCTCCAAATTCCAAAGTGATTTTGATTGTGAAGGAGATAGGAGAATCTCTATAATCTATTATGCACGCACCGGGATGCATGTACACAAAAGTAGGTAGAGGAAGTTTTAGTTCTTTTGAAATGAGCAAAAATAAACCTTTGGGATCAACTAACCCTAAATACGTCCAAGTGCATGTAAGATTTTCAAGGAGATATATAGAGTGTGTGTATTATTAGTGGGCATCATCTTAAAGGATCAATTCAATCAAAAGCTTAAATTGATGGTTGAAACCCAGAAATATGTTTTTATACTCTATCAAGTATATTGTTATCAGTTATTGTTGAAACTTGTAAGACAACCATACTTGTATTATCTTAATTATCACTGTGTTGTTAGTCTAATTAGAAAGCTATCTAGGGTACATATAAAGTGTTTAGTGGCACATTGGCTGGCTAATAGAAGCATGTGCGGAGCAAGCCGATAAATTTACCATTATTCTTCAAAAGGGTATATTAATCAGTAAAAATTATTATATACGTCGTCTAGGTGAAAATTAAAGTGCACTCAAAGTTATTTATTGGTCATTTGAATTTTAAATTAATAATTATCAAAATGTGCAAAAAGTGCCGTGCATCACCTAGGTCTTAGATTTATTTTGAATGAAGTCATTATTATTGGGGTATTTTGGCCACGTTTAGTTATTAGTTTATGTTTTGTTTGTTGAGTTTTGCCCCTCGTATGGAGTTATGAAAAAAAAACCCTACATTATTGGTGTAGCTTGGCCACATTTATCGATTCACTATCGTAACAAATCTAGAAGAGAGCATTGTTTGTTGCCTTGTTGGAACAAATGTATAGCTAAGAATTTTGGGAATCTTCATTATTTTCATTTTGGGTTGATTTGTGTTTCAAAATTTTTTTGGGTTGATTTAACATATTGAGTTGATTTATTGATTTAACATAAGATGTGGACAAAAAAAAAAAAAAAAAAAAAAAAAGAAATTCCAAGAGCTATCAAAGGTGGAAATTTCTACTCCGTAAAACATTAAAATTAACGAAGTTAAAAAAAAATAAAAAATACTTCACAAAGTCAGCTTTTAGGAATTACTAAGATAATTAAGTCAACCTTCATGGAGAAATTATAAAAAGTGAGAAAGAGATTATCTAAATCTTTATAAAATTTGCTTCTTACAATTTGGGGAGTAAAAAACTTGTAATTATTCTAGAACAGTGCGTAAGTCCAAGGCTTATTGCTATAATATAAGCTCAAATTCAGCTAATCTTATCAACTCCACGAAAGTAGTTAGAGGTTTTCTCTAGACAAGTGATGTTTCTTACGCTTTCAAAGTTAGTGAGCATTAGACCTTAGGTTCATTTGATAACATAGTATACTAGTAAACTTATTCTCCTTTTGAGACTGAAAAAGTGCAAATTAAGTAGAGAACAAGTAAAGGGAAGCAAGAACGGATAACAATTGTTTAATACTTAATTTCCCGATGCCTCTATTAGAGTCTACTATTCCTTTTTGGACGGATTAAAATTAAAGTCCCATTGTTAGAATCTTTTCCTTTTTAGTAAGTGGTTTTTTTACAATTTTAACCTCATTCTCCTGATTTAATTCCCAAATTATCAATTTTTACTGATTTTTTGTGCCAAATATTTTTGGTATTTATTAATCCACCAACATATGTTCTCTCTCCTCATTCTTCTTTCTAGGTACTTCTTCTTATTTTTGGCATTTATTAACCCCCCCTTTTTTCTCACTTGTTATTTAATGCACTTAATATACTTTGGTACTTCCAATCACATGGTTTAAGGAATCTACAAAAACCTTAATTCCTGGGAAAAATGAGAAATGAGACTCTAATAAAAGGATTGAGGGAATATATGTATAACAAAGTAAATAAATCATCACTACTTATTTTCTATGCAACATATATGGAAGATCGAGTGAATAATTTAATACAACAATATTCTGTGTATTTCTACAGCTCTATGTGTACAATAATAAACTCATTACATGATAATCTCTACAAAACAATGAAAAATTTGATCCTTTAGGGCTTTATACAAGTATGTATATAGGCCTTTTTAATTATATGTTCAATCACCCCTTAATATACCCCCCCCCCCACCCACCCAAAAAATGAAAAAAAAAGAATTTGAACAAATCAACTTATAAAGTGTTTAATTAACTCAACAAATTAATTTCTCTTGAATTTCATAGAAGAAGATACGTCCATGCATGACGAAGTTTGTGCTTACTACGAACCACACCGTTAGCTGCATGACAAGTAAATGAGCCACGTTAGTATTTATTATATTGATGATAGTGTAACAACATACGGATTTCTCCGTATATAATTACTTATATGTACGCAACTTTTTAGTAAAATACGCTTAAAAGAGTTCTATTGTCAAAGTTTTGTTACGAAAAATGAAAGTAATTTTGTACTACCTTCGTTTTTTATTAGTTGCAACTTTAAAATATTTTATATCTCACAAATAATACCCCAAAGTTACAAGTAATAAAAATTGGAGGTAGTATATGAAGTAGTCAATTGTATCTTAGTGAATTACCAGTGAATATATATTAGACAAACCATTATATGAAAAAGGAAATTATATTATACATATATAAAAACACATATTGACATAATTAATAATGCAATTAACAAGACAACAACAACTAATACTTACTTTATGAATTGTTTCCAGAAATCACTGTTGCCATCATCCAAAAGCTTATCCCAACCTTCGAAGAAATCATCAGTAGTGGGGCCCAAAGCAGAGGAGCCATTGGTAGAGTTTGTGTTGCTCTCAATTTGGTTTACAGTTGAAGCCTCAGGTGAAAAATTAACCAATGATGGTAATTTATTTTCATCTAGGGTTTCATAAGTAGTTGTACTACTTAAACTCTTGTTACAATTTGTATCCAAGCTTGTGTTATATAACTCTGGTGTATTATTATCATATTTATGATCAACTATTGCTTGTTGGCTTGGACCGACCGCAAAATTTGGAACTTGGCAAAAACCTTGAGAGGTTGAACACATAGGGTTACTAATATTATTAATGTTAACCATACCATTAGAATATGATGATCCTAAGTTTAATGCCATGGTTTGGTCCATATTTGGGAGGGATAATGATGATGATGACGTCGATGATGGATTATTTGCGTTTAGGATTTGGAAGATGTTTTGTAGGACTTGGAGCTTGGCTACCTCAGCCGCGACGTTTGGTTGTATCCTAAGAGCATTGTTGATGTCCCAAGGATTCATCATTGGGCCTAAATTTTGTGGTGTTGAAAGAAGTTGGGAGAGATTAGCAAGGAGATTAAGGTCATTTCTTGGTTTGTGAGTAACTGGATCAATACCCATTTGTAGGAGTTTTTTCCTTAGGTGGGTGTTCCAATAGTTCTTAATCTCATTATCAGTTCTTCCTGGTAGATGAGCTGCTATTCTTGACCACCTATCAAAATTTGACACACAACAAGTAAAATGAAAACTTAGTTAATTACTAATTAATCACATGAAGAAAATGCAGAGAAAAATTGTATCCCCAAATGAAACTGTCTAGTTTTAAGAAAGAATCTTGTTCCTGAAAGCAGATGTGTTTGGAACGTAGTTTTTCGTGTTAGATAAAAAAAAAAAAAGACCTCCTTAGAGAATTTGTTGGTGGTTTAGGTTGTTGACTTTGATTATTTCTATTTGAAAACATTGTATTAACTAAAAAAAAAAAAAAAAACTTACTTGTTGCCAAGAACAGAATGAAGCTTGATAATCATGTCTTCTTCCTCTTCAGTGAAGCGACCACGCTTAATGTCCGGCCTCAAGTAATTAGTCCATCTCAATCTACAACTCTTACCACACCTATTCAACCCGGCGGCTTTAGGAAGAGCCCGCCAACTTCCAAGACCATGTTTTTGGATGTAAGAGACGAGCAATTCATCTTCTTCTGGTGTCCAAGGACCCTTCTTCAACTCACTAATATCATCACAACATGGAGACCTACCCATCTTCGATTCGTTTATAACTTTTCGGTGTTTTGGTTCTTCTAATGCTAGTTGAAAGAGGAGAAGTTGATCGAGGAGAAAAATTAGGGAGTAGGAGAGTGTAAAGATTAATTGAATTGGTTGATATTCTTGGTGGGACTTTGGGTGCAATATATATAGGCTAGAAGGATTTGAGGGTGTCAAAAGATGAAAAATGTCATTTTCAAATTAGGTTTACATTGTATATTATAATAATGAAAACTATATAATAATATAATAAAAATGCATGGATTAGAAGAGGGCTTCCTAAACGAAGGCAAGGTTGTTCTTGGGAGAGGGTATAGTTTCAAGGATTTGAAGCCAATAAAAAGACAGCATAATTAAGGATTAGGTATTGCAACTGTCATCATATTTGAAAGAGTGATAATTGAAACTTTCTATGATAGTTAATCTTAATTTGACACCTTATTAATTTAACCTATGGTAGATTTCTGTATCATCCTTGATTATATACGAAGTATATGTTATGCTTTTCATATTACTTTTTTCCTATTTTTGTTTCATGCCTGAAATTGCATGATTTCCTTTTTCTTCATTCTTTTTCTAGTGAAAAGTAACAATTGAAGCAAAGATTATGCTTTTACTTTTCATTAATTTTTTTTACTTATTAGTTTATTTTTATTCTTATCTCCTTATTTAGATATCTTGTAATAAAAAGCATTTACCTAAAATTTAATTTTGCCATTGAATATCAATGTGTTCCATTTTCAAATCATAATTATTTATACGGAAAACATGATAACTACTTGTATTATAGCTTTGAACTCAATTAATTAACCCTCTTATATTTCAACTCAACACCCACCTGGTTGACATATATAGCTTTAAATTTTGTTGGATGTTTAAATTAAATACGCACTTAAATTTCATGTTTATTTACTAAAAGTTTTGTTTTTCATAACATTATTTTTCGTGTTCGTATGATCAAGTAGATCAACCTATGAGAGAGACCATGTTAATTGTCATCTGTATATTATGAGACATACAATACGAACTACTCTCTTTGTATTTAAATATTCTTCCAGCTTGAATAATAGTATTTGTACTGTCCTAAAAAAAAGACAAAATAAGAACAACTTTTAGAGGCGTAGGGAGTAATACATACTGATGTACCAATTTTTTTTTTAAAAAGTTCAACTGTACCATCATTAAACCTTTATATAATCATTAATTGTAGAGGAAAATGTTTAATAAAGTACACATATCACAATTCATTCCTTTTTTTCAAGATGATTGTGTCATGTTTTTGTAGAAAAAAAAAATTCTATAGAGACAATCTAATAACAAAATCCAAAAAAAATCTACCAACCAGGCGACCAATAGCTCAAGACAATTTATTTCCGCCTTGCATCAGCCGTCTTAAACCCGTCTTAGATTATACGCAGTACTTAATATCCATTATGGAAGTTGCTACGAATTGAAGTAAAACTATATACTATTATGATAGAAATTAAATAAAAAAAAAAAAGGATTTAAATATATACTCCGTAGTAGTGTACTAGTGTGATACAATGATAAATATATATATATATATATATATATATATATATATATATATATATATATATATATATATATATATATATATATATATATATATATATATATATTGAACATGCAGTAACCACTTCCATCAATCATATCAGACAATCACCCAATTAATTCTAATCATATTTTTTTTTTTTGTTTGAAAAACCTTATTCTATCTTGGCAACTTTAAACTTTAATTTCCTCTATTTTATTTAGACAAAAAGTTTCCTTTATATTATTATTAGAACAAAATGTATCATCTTTTGTTTTTTTTTACTCAAAAAGGTATCATCTATTTCATACTAACATTACCGTGGTTACTTTATATTGAGTAAATACAAGTTTCTGAGAAACCGCTTGAGCTATCTCTCACTCTCTCAGGGCTAAATGATAGTTACATGGTTCGTTTAGGAAAGTTCTAACCGCTTGAGCTATCTCTCACTCTCTCAGGGCTAAATGATAGTTACATGGTTCGTTTAGGAAATCTTGGTAGTTCTTATTGTTTTCTTAATCTTCAGAGATACGCTTATAGTTTGGTTACGTTCGAGCAATTTATTCATCATTTGATGACTTTATCCAATTATATATTGGAGATGCAATTATTTTTGTTCTTCAGCATGTACTGATATTGTTCAGCTAGTTCTACCTGTGTATTTAATTCGGTTCTTATGTTAGTTTAAAGAAAATATAATTTTCCTTTTATTAGTTTATTATTGTAGTTTAGTTAGTTTTCACCTATTGTACGTAATCTAAGAATATATTTATAATTTAAAATATAGAGTATTCAGCCATGGCAGTTGAATTCAACTAAAAATATATGGTAAAATTCATCTAATAGTAGATATATGTCTCTGGTATATATAAATGTGCTCCATCCAATAGTCAATTGAATCATCTTTGTTTCCGGCCTTCTCGTTTTGTATATGAAAGATTTTGAATTCATATCCATCATCGAGTCTATATCCATTACGGATTAATAAATCAACGTACTCTAACTTTTATCAATATTTTAAATTTCTTACATACACTGTTATCGATACAAGTTATCGTAAATCCATCTCATACAGTAAGAATACTGTTAGTGGACCAACTCAACCATTAGCTTAAACTGATGATTGAGGCCCATGAATATATTTTATACTTTATCACGCCTCCCTCACATGAGAGTCCGTTGGGCTTGGAAGTGTGGATGCAGCATGGCCCTCCGCATACCCTGCGCGAAATATTCCACTTAAATATGGGGGTGGATGATCAGATTTGAACCCCTGACCTTTGTGTCACGCTGGCTTCGATACCATATTAAAGAACCAACTCAACCAAAAGCTTAAACTGATAGTAGAGTCCACAAATTCTTATATGTGGCTTGCCACATCGTGTGATCTGACTAGTCATAATAGAGGTTACTTCGTTAGTGTTACAGGAGTTCGATCAGTTTTACAGAGGTTACTTCGTCAGTGGTATAGGGGTTACTTGATCAGTGTTACAGGGGTTGCTTCGTAAGTGGTATAGGGTTACTCAGTCAGTGTTACAGGGGTTACGTGTTATAGAGGTTTACTTTGTTTATTTACAACCGGCCACATGGTTCGGCCATGCAGTTACAAACAAGACCGGCTGATAAGAGTCTATATAGATAATATTAATTGCAAATAATTCAAGAAACTTAACTTACATATTATGTGACTATTTAATTGCCCTATGTTAGATAATTATATCCTAGCTTAATTAAACAAAATTAATCTTAAGTTATGAGGATACTGAAGTGATAATTGTAGATTATCTGATAATTATCCAAAAGAAGTTGGCATAGGGGCATGTCGCATGCATTTAAACATTGCATGCACTTTTATATTAAGCTATTGATTTGGTCTAGTGTATCCATAATCCATTAGCTCCATAATCAACTGTTAAATTATCAAAGTTCTTCTACGTAATCCTATTATTAATACATATCATGCATTATTGGTTTGCATGTGCTACGATAAACAAAGTGTAACAACTATTCTCTTATTAATAATGCCAAATAGAAATATAGAAATATTGATGCTCCAGGAAAACAGAAAATAAAACAATTTAATATATTTAAGTTTCCTAGTTTTAATTTGTCATTAGTATTAAGGAGCTTGTACGATACTTCGACAAATACAACTCGTATTAGTTAATGTAATTACTAATTAGTTATGTTAATATAACCCGAACGAAAGAATGTACAATTTTGACTGATTTTTATTCCAGGTTGAACTATAATTTTTAAAAACCTAATTATATGAATTTATCATATTATCATCACCCAAGAAGTCATCTTGTTTGTCCTTTTATCCCTCATTAAATGCTAAAAATTAAATCTTTTAGTGGTTTCATGTTAGCCCTAGCTAATTTGTTATGTATCAACCAATTTTATATTAGGGCAGTCTACAACTACTTTTGTTTGCATGGTTCATCTTCTCTCACCAAAACCCTCTTCCAATAATTTTTTTGCCTTTTAGATTTTAGGGGTCATATTTTATAATGTCAACATGTATATTTGTTAATAGATCTTCTCCTAGATTTATGCATATATGCATGGCTCCACATATATCTATATGAATGACCAAATGTCTTTGAATATATAAATGCATTTTGGGCTATAATAACACAAGCAATAATGAATCAAGGTTAAATGAATATGCATGCATGCATGCATTTAGGCTCATTACAGTCAACTTATTTTGACTTATTTCTCATAAAATAAGTTTATACATTTCATATAAATATAGACAAAATAATACTACGTAATTAAGTTTGTATAGATCTTAGCTTGCTATAGTGAAAATAAGTTTAGACATACTCACAACTGCTATAATGAAAACAAGCTTTGGTATGGTATAGGGAATATACGATTTATTAGATTGATATTAATATAAGTTTAAATAATATAAGTTCTAAAAAACTAAGTCGAATAGAAATATAAAGCCTAACATAGCTATGCGAGAATGTGAGATGGTCGCATCCATGACTTGAATTGCTTAATGCTTACATATTCGATAACTGGTTTTGGGAGCATAGGCTTGACTTAGCTTCGTCTTTCATTCCTTCAAATCTCAATGAAAACAGTCATTTTATTTTTTTTTATTTTTACTTATTGAAAATGTATACTTTGTATATGGTATGGATATGGGTAACGTATTGTACTAATGTGGAAGGAATAAGGAAAAGGAATTAAGAGAACGTTATTAATAAGTTGAATTGCTTGTAAAATTGCAAATAGCAAGATTTTAGGCTTCTAGCCAACTTTTTTTGGTAGCATTTGACCGATGACTTGTTATTAACCTTGGTAGCATTAACCTTGTTATTAACCTTGTTTAGTAATAAATAAATTATGATCTTGTTCACTTGGCTTGCTTGGTTTTTTTTTTTTTTTTTTGACAACACACTTGGCTTACTTGACCGGCTGATAATGTCAGTTATTACACTAACATATTATTTCTAATTCAGAAGTGTTAATGATTTATACAATAATCTATTAGTGTTCGGCTAATGTTTATTGCGGAGTAGCTGTTTATAAGCAAAATATAACCAACATTAGGAAAATATGCAACCAAAAGCTATTAAGATAGTTTTACTAATTAGCTTTTTCATCGCGGATGAAAGTTGTTGATGGTCATTCGTTATTAAAAAGTTATTCGCTAAACATATTAAAAACCTTATGAAAAAATCTAAACCCGATCAAA